TCATGCATTGTCCCTGAAGTCCTGACTTTTTGGCTGAGTTACCCAAAGAGGTTCTTCTGCATCTTTGGCTCTCCAGGGTCTAGCTACTTGGCAATGAACAAAGATCACTTCTCATATAGCATCACGCTTACAAACGTAAAGGTGCCTGTATCTCCGAACTTTACAATGAAACGTGGGTCTTTGATAGAACAATGTGCTCGGCTTGGTCAACAGCACCTTGTGCGAAAGTTTCACGATCAAGCTTGCCAATCCCAGATTTCGCAATGTTGCCACCAGCCAAACTGGATCCAGGGGTCGACCTCTTCGACGACGACGACCAAAAAATATTTTTTGGGCTGTTTGCGACATTGAACGCGAAACTTTCACACAAGGTGCTGTTGGCCAAGCCGAGCCCATTGCGCTAATAAAAACCCCACGTTTCATTGTAAAGTTTGGAGATACAAGCACCTTTATGCTTGTAAGCGTGATGCTATATGATAAGTGGTCTTTGTTTAATGTAAAGTAGTATGGCTATAATAGAGCAAAAGATGCAGAAGGACCTCTTTGGGTAACTCAGCTACTTTGCATGACTGGAAGGATGGAAGGATGATACTATATACTGTTGACAAAAGCCCGTACATTGCGAGCTAACAGCCAACTCCTCACAATCGGCAATGTTGCCCATTCTATGACAGTGGAACGGTGCTCCTGCTTCAGACATTAATTTCCATGATTGGATTATGTTGATCCGAGTTGATTTGGCTGAGCTACGCTCATACAAGGTTACTTCAGTTGAGCAACATAGAGCATGGTTAGATGTGTGGATTGATGTAATCCCTCTTTGGCTGTATCTCGGTCAAATCAACTCGGATCAACATAATCCAATCATGGAAATGAATGTCTGAAGCAGGAGAATCGCCCACATGTCATAGAGTGGACAACAGTGGCTATTGTGAGGAGTTGGCTGTTAGCTCGCAATGTACGGGATTTTGTCAACAGTATATAGTATCATCCTTCCATCCTTCCAGTCATGCAAAGTAGCTGAGTTACACAAAGAGGTCCCTCTGCATCTTTTGCTCTGCCAGGGTCCAGCGACTTGACATTGAACGAAGACCACTTCCCATATAGCATCACGCTTACAAACATAAACGTGCCTGTATCCCCAAACTTTACAATGAAACGTGGGGTTTTGAATAGAGCAATGGGCTCGGCTTGGCCAACTGCACCTTGTGTGAAAGTTTCGCGTTCAATGTCGCAAACAGCCCAAAAAATATTTTTTGGTCGTCGTCGTCGAAGAGGTCGACCCCCCAGATCCAGTTTGGCTGGTAGCGACATTGCGAAATCTGGGATTAGCCACGATGAACTTGAAACTGCCACACATGATTCCTTTGACCCCGACGAGCAACTCTGTTCTATTAAAGACTCCACGTTTGATTGTGAAACCTATGACTGTCTTTATGTTTTTACTATGCTGTATGCGTGATGGAGCTGTTTACTGCTAATGGATGGTGTCAAGGACAGCATAAGCAAGATGAAGAGCTGAATGAAATGGCACGTGGTAGTTACACACACACACACGCACATCGTTGACAGGTTGCTACGCACACGAATTATCGGTGGTTGCCTTTAGGGATGCAAGTAAACAACATCCAACAAAGAAGGTGTCTCAATGTACGTGTAAGACAAGTAACAATTCGATATCACATTTGGTTGCTCTAAGGGGTCGAGTTGCATAAACGTTGAAGCGCACGGACCATGTCTGATGCCACGATCAGATAGCTGCAAATCACTTGGCAACCTCTTCCTTTGCTTCCAGCAAGCACAATCTTTCTGTTCTTTTTCTTTTGTCACTTGAACAACTCACATGCTTTGTTTGCAGCGACTTAAGATCTTAATGGAATGGGTTGGAAGCAAGTAAATGATCACCTCCTACAAGGGCTGTGAGCAACAAGGGATTATTCATCCCGAATCTGGGGTTTTTCCTAGTGTAGCTTTCATAATGCAACATCGGTGAATGAACATAATGTTGTTCAATCACTACAATTGTCGGCAAGTTATGCTTTTAGCATAAAGTTGGTGTTGTTAGTATAAAAAGTACCACACGTCAAACATCTTGGTTTTACTTCCCATACATTTTTCTCGCACCAATATTCATCATGGCTCCCACACCAAACTCTCAAGTTATCTTCTCAAAGATCCCAACCACTTATCCAGTTGCTGGTGAACATATGACCATTAACCACACAACCATCGATTTGGATGCTCCTCTTGGCGACGGTGAGATTCTCATCAAGCAACTGGTGCTTTCTGTTGATCCATATATGCGTGGTCGTATGCGTGATCCTTCTATCGAATCTTACATACCCGCTTTCACTCTTGGCAAGCCAATGACTGGAGACTCAATGGGTGTTTGTTTGAAATCCAATAACCCACATTTCAAGGAAGGCGACTACATCTACGGTGTTAGTGGTCATGGTGCATTCGAAAACTATGTTGTCGTGCCCGCCGCCGAAACCAAATTTTATGTCGTTCGTAACGAGCCGAAGACCAATGGTCTTCCTATTACAAACTATGTTGGTGTATTGGCGCTGCCTGGACTCACGGCATACGTAGGGTAAGTATATCATATTATATACCCTGGTTTGTGCATAAATTTGTTAATGTTGTCTTTTGTGCAATCCAAAAGCTTGCTCAAGTATGGTAAGCCCAAAGCAGGCGAAACGCTTTACGTGTCAGCAGCATCGGGTGCTGTTGGTCAGATTGTAGGCCAAATTGGCAAGGTACTTGGCCTTCACGTTGTGGGCTCTGCTGGTTCGGATGAAAAAGTCCAATACCTCAAGGAGATCGGCTTTGATGCTGCCTTTAATTACAAGACTTGTGATGTTGACGGGAAGCTAGGTGAATTGTGTCCCAATGGCATTGATGTCTACTTTGAGAACGTCGGCGGTAAAATGCTTGAAGCTGTCATTAACCATGCCAACCGGTTCGGCCGGTAAGTTTACATGACACATACATCCATGTATCACATAAGCTCTAAATCACATGCCTTTTAAATTAGCATTGTTGCCTGTGGTATGGTTTCCCAATATAACCGTGAAAAGCCAGAGGGTATCCACAACCTTATGCAAGTCGTTACCAAGCGTTTGAGAATCGAGGGCTTCATTGTTGGTGATTCAGCTGCCGAAATGGAAGAACAATTTCGCAAGGATGTCACACAATGGCTTCTTGAAGGAAAGATCAAGTATCGGGAGGACATTGCATATGGCATCGAAAAGACACCCGATGCTTTGATCGCCGTGTTGCGTGGTGAGAACTTTGGCAAGCAAGTTGTTAAGATTGCCGATCCTTAAATCATGCTATGTACAGTACAAAGATAAATGAATACTTCATTATAATACATGTCATAGATTAGTACAGTTGAATCGCTCGCCATCCTCTTGTGCGAGAAAAGAGGGACATGGCAATGTACATTGCAGCTATTTCTTTTGCTAACACGCTATATTATTCATCACTACCACATGGATCTGCACAGCTTATTGGAGGCACATTCTCCATCACCTATTACTTGTATTCTTCCTTCCATGACTCAAATAAGCAAAACCCTCCATGTCTCTAGAACAGATCCATGATCACCCTATACCATGTGATGCTGATCCCAATATCTATCACTATCATAATGAAAGACATGTTTGCTCGGATGCAATTGACTCCATATCATATGTAAATTGACACACAAGATGACTGCCATGTGAATGGACATGTAGACGTTGTGCAAAAGCTAGGCTTGCCCAACTTTGGTATGAAGAAAAAGTGCACCAACATGATAGATGGATGTCTTCTACAGCTGTTGGTTTCTTACAGTGCCACGTTTACATATGCATCCAATTCTTCCCATCCCATGTACCAAAGCAATCCTCATATTGATATCCATAAGAAGTTGTATGTATTAAAGCAAGTTGCTACATGTAAATAAAGCTGCTTCTACACAATGGCTACTGTTGATCACGTGAAAAAGGCCACAAGGCAGGCTGCTGCAGGTAACTTGACACAATGGAATAGCAACTGCTGTTACGTTTGTTGGTGGCAGAGGAACGTGCAAGAGCGTGTGTTGTAGTAGAATGACAAGGTTGTGAATGCTGTTTGAGACAATGGAGCGAATGGCAACTGCTGGAATGGATGCTATTACGTTTGATTGTGGCAGAGAAGCGTGCAAGAGTGTGCGTTGTGTCAAGAGACTCGTGTGTTGTAGTAGAGTGACAAGAGGACTGTATACACGCCATGGACTTGCCCATTCAGTCAAAGACAATCGGATCAAGGCAGCTGTAGGATTGACATGATGGGTTGAAGCAGGACAATCGTTCGCAGGTGGTAGTTGTATGTACTTGAATGGGGCAATAGTTGAGAATGGGAGGAAAAGGGAAGAAGGTGGGAGTGGAAGAAGTGGAAATTAAGTAGGTCGGACACCTCTTGTATAAATGCATGAATCACTGTACATCAATCCTTGATAGTGAGATTGCCCCTCTCGAACCTGAATCTTTCACACAAGATGCTCTCGGGCATGCTGATCAACTTGTATCAATAAAGAACCTATACTTCATTATAAAAAATTTGAATGGGATGGTACAATGTGGGGTTGACTATGGGAGGTCCGAATGGAGGACAGCGCCGGATTCTGATTTATGCATTATCTTGGGATTCCCCATCTCGGAAGGTTCGCTGAGTCATGCTGATCAACATCATTCATTTAAAAGTCGCAGACTTCATTGTGAAGGTTTAAATGTGGGGAAGTCCAAATGGTGGAGTGACAGCGACCGGAGGCTTTGAGCTGGCAATGTATGATGACCTAGAACCTGAATTCGTTGAAATGATGTTGAACTGGTATATGTTTCCTGCCACGAACATTGTTTCAGGGACAGCTTATTACAAAGAAAAATAGTTTTTTATTGCAAATATGGATGGCAAAGGGGTGCATATTTATGTAAAGATGAATACGAGAAGAGGTTGTCATTGTGGTTGCGTAAACATGTAGGTTTATTAATGTAAGATCATGACACCATAGGTAGCGTTAAGCCATTCAATGAGAAGTCTACAATTTACGAGCAAAGCGAGCAACCCGGGGGTTCCAGCATCAAAAGATCCATGCAACATCCACGTGACACGGGGTTCCAACCAAGCGTGTTGCGCCATTCCCGCTTCCTTTTCCTTTACAACCCACATGGCCAGCAGAAACCGAATCACAGCAGGTCCAAAATCTGTCATTTGTCACGAAACGGATCTACGCGGGGAGATATCCATCGGTATGCCATTGCCAAAGTCTCGTTCTTTATAGTGTCTAATGTCATGGTTGCTGTAGGTGCAGGTTGGCACAAGTTGCTGTCATGGTTGTTCTCAGAGACATGCTGATTCAAAGTTATCGTTTCAGGAACCGTATTGCACCCTCAATGTCGTATCGTTGCCGAGAATGGGCCTGTGTATATTGGAAAGAACAATATCGTCGAAGAAAACGTTATCATCTTCAACAAGTAAGACATGGTATTTGCCTCGAGTGGATCGATGGATGCCTGACATGAGGAAACAGGAATAGTTCACCTCTCATCATTGGTGATGAAAACGTATTCGAAGTTGGATGTTGTAAGTGATGAAACGGCAAGTGTGGTTGTATTCATATTGCCCCTGACACCCAGCTATGCCAGATGTGGAAGGATCAAGAATCGGTAACAACAACATCATTGAAGCACGAGGTACACAATGGCTCAACATTCGATGTTTGGATAACAAGCGAAAAGGCTGACAATTTGGATTGCATTGTGTTGATAGCAAAAGTCCATGGAAGTACCATCATAGGAAATCATTGCGTAGTGGGTGCGGCTTGTTCGACCGAAATGAATGAAACGGTGGAGGACATGACAATCATCTATGGCACAAAGTCATGCAGACGAAAGCAGAGTGAAATATTCCCGGTATGTTTGTTGTGGCATCACCATCTCCATCATTCAATCCACTTACAATGGGTTGCTTTTTAGGCTCAAGCAGCTTTGCATGCACGTCATTTGGAATACCTGCGTGAGGTAAATATGAGTGGATATTGGGATGATGCAGGATACCGTGTGTGCTCACTCTGTGTATTAGGTGCTGCCCAAATACAATCATTTAAAGAGGCTTGAAAGCATGTAGAATTCGCATTTGTCAATTACCTTGTATAGCACACTTTATATATCCCACAATTACCAGAGCCATGATGATTAAAAACATTGACTCGCACAACGTGAATGATGATGGTATATACTTGGATGCATAATAAGGCAATTACAATATCACACAAACACGCACACACATGATCTTATACAGGCTGAATTGAATTCATTTCTTTTTCTCTACATTTACAACAAAAGAAGCATCTACTCTTCTCTTCATGATTGGTAAATTACAAGATGGGATGGGAAACTATTTACTGGACGAAAGCCTTGCCCTTGGCAATGTTCTTCTTGAGCTCAGGAACAGCCTTGCTGATAAGCTCCTTCTCGTAGTCAGAGATCTCACCAAGACCATTGATCTTCTCAACACCGTTGGGACCAAGTTCAATGTTGCTGGAGAAGTATTCAACACCTTCCTTGGCGAAGAGTTCAGACTCAACGAAAGAGGGCTCAACAACACCCTTCTTGCCACCAACGGTAGCTTCCAAAACGGAGTTGGCGAAACGAGCACCAGCGAAAGCCATGGAAAGAGTAGCGCTACCGGTACCATCCTTAGCCTTGACGACTTCATCACCACCGAATTGGATGCGGTGGGTCAAAGCATCAAGCTCCTCCTTGGTGAAGGTTTCACCGGTTTGGGAAAGAAGGGGAACAATGGTGACACCAGAGTGACCACCAACAACGGTAACCTTGCAGTCCTTAGGATCCTTGCCCTTAACTTCAGCAACGAAACGGGAGGCACGGACAACATCCAAAGTGGTAACACCATAGAGACGCTTAGGGTTGTAGACACCAGCCTTCTTCAAGGTCTCGGCGAAGATAGGAACAGTGGAGTTGACAGGGTTGGAGATGATGAGGAAGTGAGCGTTAGGGCAGTACCTATATACGATAATTAGCATATGATATCCTTGTCATCTTATGAATTGTATTACTTACTTGGCAGAAGCTTCAGCAAGGTCACGGACAATGGAAGCGTTGGTGTTGAACAAGTCATCACGGGTCATACCAGGCTTACGGGGAACACCAGCAGGGATAACAACAACGTGAGCACCCTCCAAAGCCTTCTTCAAACCCTCATTGTCAGCAGTGTAGCCCTTGACCTATAGCATTATCACATATCAATAACCATGATCATCACTTTTTTCATGCCCTGCTTATACTTACAACGGAGTTGGTGTTGATGTGGCTATTGTAATAAAAAGACGCGTGTGTACGCGTTACATGTAAGAAAACATGGCTTCGACATTTATAAAAATATGCGTATCATACCTCAAATCAGCAGCAACACCGGGAGTGTTGACGATATCGTAAAGGGAGAGTTCAGTGACATGGGGGTTCTCCTTCATAAGCAAAGAGAGGGGTTGACCAATACCACCAGAGGCACCAAGGACAGCAACCTTGGAGAGGTTAGCAGCAGAAGTAGAGAAAGCACGCTTGGCGGCAACAGAGGAGGCGATACGGGTGGCAGCGAACATTTTTGATGTGTAAAGAGTAAAAGAAAAGAGCCGGGGCTACCCCAACGTTGAGCCCTTGCAATAACTTCACCCGATTTCCCCGTCACATGTTGCGGAATGACAAAGCTAATGTCGGCTTACCCTTTAGGAACTATTCACACTCCTTTTAAAAGAAGTGCATTTCTGCTGATGCAATCACTTTATTCGTTCCATCCTTGCCTTTATTATCGCTGTTTCCTGTGTGCAAGGAAATGTCTTGCTCTTGGCAACAATGCCATGGATACGTAGGTATCCATGATACCATCCAATTTGTTCTTGATATCTAAATGTTTCACAAAAGTCAGCCCTGTCAAACGCCCAAATCTTAAACGCTGATAAGATGGCACGCGTTGCTGATAAGGCTTGTTCAAGCTTTTAAAGCACAGGTATGATTCTTGTATTCCCCCTTTACTACCCTTCTTGTTTCCCTCATACAATGAACAGCTGGTCGTATTGGATACGTGTTATGACGTATGCATTTCCTCCCAAGAAAAAGGCAACATTCTATTCACGCGGATAAAAACTCAACCATGGGATGGGAAAATATCATCCGTAAAATTCACATATGCAGGACAAGATGGAGATGATCTCACATGCAGCCGGGAAGTTAGTTGACAAACCAGCATGGTCCTCGTACATGGCTCCGTAATCACGTGTTTATGTATATTGGGTCTGAACCACGTGAGATAAGATATGATAGCAGCTACAACCAATGGTATAAATAGTCCCAGCTTAGATGATGTTGTGCAAGAAGGAATTACTCATTCGCTCTATTTTCACTCGCTTGTAGTGTGTCAACAAGTAGCTTTCCTATGAATACCAAAAACAAGTTATGCAAGAAAAGTTGGCATGAATTGGGATGTATAGATAGTAGCCATGACAACATGATATCATCATCATCGTATCGTCATCCCTTCCCAAAGGTTTTGTTGTGCCATCAGCTCAGATGCCAATGCCGATAGCCCCGTTTGCCGTTGTTGTGATAGGGTTGACCTTTATTAACCATCAAGAGAAAGGATCAAAAATGTCTATATTCTCCCATGTATAGGACAACAGGTGGCTGTGTAGATTGACTAGTGACGAACGCCGTACCTGGATCGGTATTAGATAGACCAATTTTCTCATCCACCAACGCCGCCGCCGGTCGTCGCTTCCTTCCTTTCTTGCATGATCTTTGCCATATAAAGCGCTTTAGCCCTTCAACTCACAAGCAATCTTGCACCTTCTTTCTCGTTGCTGATTGCCGTCAACATTCCAGTTCTACTCTTGGGCGACTGTTTCGGCATCACGAAACGTAAATTGATGATGGCTCCACCTGCCACATCGCTCTCTTCTTCTTCACCTCTCAGCCGCGATTCAAAAGGATACTTTGACATTGACAAGTAAGATTGGTACAGTCATGTCTCTTTATTAGAACGCTATATTCTAAATGTATCTATCCATATTCATAGCAAACCAGAATGGGCACGCAAACCACTACTTGGATTTTCTACATGGTCCACACAGCTACTTGATGACGTTCCAGGCTATGGTGGCAAGCACACAGAACCATGGTATGGAGTTACACAATTGGGGGAGGGGGAAAGGAGAGCGTGGCGCGCGTCATGTTTGTTGATTCAATGATTAACATATATCCGTTTATCCATTTTCTGTACTTGTTAGGTTTAATGAATCCAAAATCAAAGCGGTGTCGGATGCCATGAAAGTGAGACTCCCAAAATACGAATATATCAATCTCGATTCAGGATGGTATGTTATTCTACGCGTTTTTCTTTCATACGATCCATATGACCAACATGATGTTATAATAGGAGTGAGACGTTTGATGAATATGGACGTTGGACCTATCGCAAAGATTTATTTCCCAATGGTCTACGAGAGCTCTCCGATCATCTAAGGAGGAATGGACACAAGTTGGGTTTATACATGCTACCAGGAATACGCAAGGATGCTTATGAGGCGAATACACCTATTCTGGGAACTGAGTATCGGTTACAAGACCTGGTGGTCGACAAGAAAGAAGGCAATGGATTCAAAGGCAGCACATACATGCCAGACAACCATCTCGACATTGTACAGCAATATTATGATTCGATTGCAGACGCGTTCGCTGAATGGGGTGTATCATTTGTCAAGATCGATGGATGTGGCCCTGGTGGTGGAGATCAATTTTATCCGTATCAGTCACCTGACACGCGTGAGGATTTGAAAATGATGGCACGTGCATTCAAGCGATATGACATTTGGCTCGAGCTATCATGGTTTATGGATCACACTTACGCCAACGATTGGGCTTTATTGAGTAATGGCGCACGCGTCTTTATCGACATTGAATCCTATTCGAGTCGCACCATGACATCTTCTCATCGAGTATTTCAACGTTTCACACAAGCAGCACGCTGGGTCGATTACAATGTCGTTGGATCGGATCATGGATTTTATATCGATTTGGATGTTGTATTGGTCGGCATGGTAGTCAACGGCAAGTGCGTGGACGGCTTGGATAACGACGACGTTCGAATGTCATACATCAGCTTTTGGGCACTAGTCAGCTCGGTGTTTTGTATTGGTGCAGATCCACGAATGATACCAGACAAGTACCTTGCCATGCTTAATCACCCTGATATCCTTGCCATCCATCAAGCTGGCAATATGGCTCGTCCCATTGGTTCGGGAGATGTGTGGCAAAATCGGAAACAGGTTTGGTGGAAACGGATGCCGGATGGACGTATTTGCTGTGGGCTATTCAATGCACACACGTACATGTTTATGCTTGGGAAAAGCCATGAGATTACGTTGGATTTGAAGGAGGTAGGATTCACCAATGGTCAAGTCAAGCTCTTTGATATCTGGGAAGGCAAGGATGTTGGTATCTTTACCGATAATTATCGCGTGCGATTGCGCCCTGGACAATGTCAGATGCTCTTTTTAACAAAAGTTTAGCTTTCGACTATCCTCTTATATTCGTTGTTCCTTTTATTCCAGTAACGTTTTATTTATCACCAACCTCACACACCATATACCACACAATCCTATCCCAAGAATAAACAATAGCTTCCCAACTATATAAAGATGTTGGTCTTCTATAAAGTATTGGCATAATATGGATATCCGTTCATTGTACTCGTTGTCGCTTTGTCTCAAGTAACCAAAAAGCTAGTGCTTCTTTGTTTTCAACATTCATTGTGAAGAAGTCTCTATAAATCAACTTTTGTGAACAATGAACGTACTTGGATGCATGCTCGCATGTACTCAGTATGGTAGGCGCTGATGATTGGATGATACTTTACGGGCTGGCAACAGCAGCAGCAGCTCAAAAGAAGGGGGGTTCAAGGGGGTCAGGAGGTAGTTTTTCCTTGCATATGGCATGATGATTTTACTTTTAACTATAGGACAACAACATTTATTGAGATATGGGAAGATACAATATTAATGTAGAGCGTGGTTGTGGTGGATGGTGGGAAACACAAAAAGTATGAGATAGCGACTAATCTAGACATTGTGTTGTGCAAGCGGTCTTTGGAGAAACGACAACGACGATCCTCGTGAGCAAAATGTACGCTCCGCAATCAGTAGCGTGTCTCCAAGGAACCAGGAGGAGTGGTCGCTCAGTCCGTTGGTGTGTCTCTCTCTCTTTTCTTTTTTTATATATGGCAATGAGCCGCGACGACGAGTACGACTATCTCTTTAAGGGTAAGTTTAAAGGAGATGAGGGAGGTAATATGAACTCACACACGCGTTGACTTAATAGTTGTCCTCATTGGTGATTCCGGAGTCGGCAAGACCAACCTCCTTGCCCGATTCACAAGGAACGAATTCAACCTCGATTCCAAGAGTACCATTGGTGTTGAATTTGCCACTCGTAGCGTTCAAGTTGACGGCAAGACCGTGAAGGCCCAGATTTGGGATACTGGTAAGTTTGGCTCATCTCCTTTTGGACGATGAAGACTAGTGGAAGCTTACCAACTCTATTACTACTACGTTTTATCCCTCCTTGAAATATACATCATGCAGCCGGCCAAGAACGTTATCGTGCCATTACAAGCGCGTAAGTAGAAGCTTGGACTGAAGGGGTATACATGGGATCAGAATAGGCGATAACTGATAAGGATGAATCGAATGTAGTTATTATCGTGGAGCTGTTGGTGCCCTCTTGGTTTATGACATTGCCAAATACGCTACTTACGAGAACGTGATGCGATGGCTCAAGGAACTAAGAGACCATGCCGATTCGAACATTGTGGTGATGTTGGTGGGCAACAAGAGTGATTTGCGTCATTTGCGTGCAGTGCCCACCGAGGAGGCTAAGCAATTTGCAGGTAATTCAGGAGCCATGGTTGGAGCAATCGATGTATATCAGACTAATTTATTGTTTGTCTTTGTAGCTGATAATGGTCTCTCATTCATTGAGACTTCCGCTTTGGATTCGAGCAATGTTGAGTTGGCATTCCAGCGTATCTTGACAGGTAAATAAGCAACTCGATGATCTCATGTGATAGATAGGTTATTAATAGCGCTTCATAGAAATCTATCGCATTGTATCCAACAAGGCTCTTGAATCTTCGGGTGGCAATATTCAGCCCACTGCTGGCGAGACAATCTCTGTTAGTCGACAGCCCGAGGAGCAAAAGCAGGGCGGTTGCTGCTAAAATGCATTATTACTCCGCGATCGTCTTTATTTTGATGTATAGTTTCTTTTTTCCTTTGTTGATATATTCTTCTTTTTACTGTAGTACGTTTGATCAAGGAGTGCATAAAGAAAGTTGATTGATTGATGATAATTTCTTATATATAAAATGGCACCCGATCATAAAAGCGACGGATATGAACCTTACATTGGTATGCATTGTTGGGAGAAAAGGAGATCAAGAGCATGAGGATCGTACACCAGTGATTAATGATGATTGGTGTTGCACACGTGCCCCTTTGTGGCCTTTCTTCATAACCCATTAATGCCTTTAAAGCTGACCTCTTTCCTTTTTCCCTTTATCCCTTTCTTTTTTGTAATAACACCAATACACACACACTCACATCATCCATGTCATTGTCGCCATCCAAATCAGATCACAATCAAAATGACGACACGATACTATCAACCGAAACGCTCGATGCATTAAAACCATACATACATGCTCTCGTCACCATCACTCGGCTTTTACGTTGGAAGCCATACAACAATGATAAAAGCTCTCCAACATCAACGATGATTTTGGTAATGACTGCCTGGTCGATTCTCTTTTACCACCATCAACTTGTTCTTGGCCTTGCTGCACCCATCTTTATCGTCTACTTGGCTACTGCTCACTCAACCACCACCACCACTCCCACTCCCACCACCACTACTACAACAACAACAACAGCTGATCAACGTCGGCATGCGAACATTGACAATGAGGACCATGTGTTTGTGAATGAGCTTCTCGAGCTTGTGCAGCTACTACCAACGACAACACCACAACCCTTTAAAGTATACAACGAAAGACAACGAGACGGCATGATGATAATGACGACTTTGTATGCTGTATGGCTATACGTACTCTACTCGGGAAGACTCGGCCAGGTGGTATGGATGATTGGCTGCATGTGCTTCATGTGGTGTAGCCCATGGATCACCCAACTACGCAACATCATTTATGCACGACGACAAGCTGCCATTGCTGCATCCTCAACGCAAACAACATCTATAACAACGGCATCATCATTACAACAGCAGCCAAAGAAACCTGAACTTGATCGCTTGTACTGCTTTTGTATCTATCAACATCAACGTTGGTGGTTGCATACTGGTTGGAGCGCTTCATTAATGCTACCACAAGATCGTCCTGTATGGTAAGTTTCTTTATCTCTCACACACACACAGACACCATTGATGTGGGTTGCTATACAAGTTGTCTTTATTGGGTTAAATTAACAAGGATCATCAATACAGGTCGGATGAATACCTAGAGCCGACTCCGAGTGTGGATGAATTCAGCTTACCTCCTCCCATTGGCGATCAATGTTGGGTGTGGACCGACCCTGCATGGAAGGTCGATAACTCTTTGGAAAACAGCAATGGCTGGGAATACGGCAGTTGGGACTGGGATGCATGGAGTATCAAACCATCCTTTAAAACATTCACCCGCAGAAAGAAATGGATCAGATGTGCTCGTCTTGTAACACCACCTTCTCGATCATCGCACCCTCAGCTCATACAACATGACAACACCAACACCACCACCACCACCCCTTGTACTTCATCAGACACCCAAAGCGATTACAGCTCTTCTAGCAGCACTAGTACCACGCTATTGAGCGCATCACCACCATCGCTTTCATTTTCACCCAAGCCAAGACCATCATCTTTGCTCACTCATCGCACATTATCATCTGTATCAACTATCCTCACACAATGCTGACGACACTTTTTTCATCTTCAGGCATACACTTTTCCTTTTTGTACAAAATCCGCCCTTACATTACTTTTGCTTTTCTTTGCTCATCATCATTAGCTACAACTCTTTACTACTACTACTACTACTACTACCTCCTCCTCCTACCTATTATGTACGTCATCTCCTCCATCTTTGCTTTTACTTAATGTACACGTACACGTTTCTTGTTGTTGTATCTGAAACAAACATAAATACAAGATCTTGATGTTTCAATACTAAGGTCACACACAAACACACAGCGCAGCCTATGTCTGAGATGGTGACGATGCACGAAAGGAGTAGAGACAAGATGTAGCCTTTACCGCTTGGGGTAGTGAATGGGACTTGACCTCCGCTTCATGCTGCTGCAAGTACCGCCGTGATAAATCAGGTCGTCTAAAGATCGTTCCTGACAGGTTTAGCGGGATGTTGTAGTGTACTACTTGCCCCCCATGGCGTATTTTTTATCGTTGCTTATCGAGACGAAGGCCCATGTCAGCTGTGTTGTGTACGTACGTGCACTGTATACTATTTTCCACTTTTGGACCAAGGCACATGCCTATGCCAAAATTTCAACCCCATCATCCCCATCCAACTCGTTGTCCAGAACGTGAGCCACGTCTCACGAACCTGCTTTTTTGATTTTCCAATAGCACGGGTCATGGTGTGAGCAAACGCACGGCCACCTTCATCACTCATATGTAAATGTGACATCTTCCATAGCCACACTTTTACAACATGTCGAGAACATTTCTCCATAAATGTAAAGTTGAATCATGCAAAAAGATCTTAGTCTCACTTGCTGAGGTAGGCTTGCTCAGCAAAACGTTGTATATATTTGGTGATTATGATTCCTTCGCATCATTGATACAAATGAGACTTTGCTGGCATTGTGTTACCCACATTTCGAGGCATTGCAAGAAAATGTGTATTCTCTTTATCATCATCATCATGATACTTTTCAAAATCTCGGGAGGTGGATGGGCATGCCAATGATTACGATACTTGCATACACATGCTATATGCAAACATACATCTCATCTATGTAGCTCTCTCTTTTCGTTTCATTCTCGGTCAGCACCGTCAAACAAAGACAACCTTATTCCATAAAAGCGTAGTACAAGATCAGACGCAAAAGCTGGGTACATCCCACACTCAACATTGAAGAAGAGATAACATTTCTTGGATAATGGAGAATGAGAAAATAGAATACGCGTAGCACTAATTGCCACGTAGCTAGTCATGGGAAGAAAAAAGTGGGGGAATGTGCGTGAGAGAATACAAAAGTGGAGAATAAGCAGCTAATTTGGGTGAAAGAGAGAGAAAAAAAGGAACGGACTATCGCATTGAAAGGAAAGGCGGCGTGTTTTTTTGTGAGATGGCGAGGTATGTGTGTGTATATATATGTGGTAAGTGTGTATACATGCTACGAATAGGATTACATACATATTGGATATCGGGTGTTTGGTAGGGTAATGTAATGGGGGATGTATCGACAAGAGGAGGAGGGCGTTCAAAGAATTGGGCACTTTTTCTTATTCTTCTTCTTGGATCGTCCATGTTGGTCAGCACCTTCACGCATGCGCCGAATCATTCTCACGACCGTGTAAAAGGAACGCTCAATGTTGACACATGTTTTTGCCGACGTTTCAATAAACTCACAACCAAGCTTTTTTCCCATTTGGAAACCTTCTTCTCGAGACACCTCGCGTTCAGTGATCTTGTCGCACATGTTGCCTACCAAAATCATGGGTATATTTGATCCAACGTCCTTGACACGTAAAATCTGGTCGCGGTAAATTGGTACGCGTTCAAAGGTTGATCTCGATGATATGGAGTAAACAAGCAAGAAACCTTGGCCATCTCGGATCCATTGGTCACGTAACGCCGTATATTCCTCTATCGGGAATAGATGTATATAGTGTTATCGATACAGCTGCTCTTTTCGGAAACACACATCACTACCACCATTTCACACGCCAAGGGAAAGGGAAGAAGGGTCTGTGGGAAGCGGAGGGACGAGAACAAGGGGGGTTGTGGATTGTAGCAGATAAGCCATCTTTGAGTTGTATAAGCTTACCTTGGCCTGCAGTATCCAATACTTCAAGTACACATGGCTTGTCATCAATGACCACTTGTTTTCGATATGAATCTTCAATGGTTGGATCGTAAGTCTCTATAGGAATGCAAATGACATGAGCATAGAAACGTAAAAGCGATGAATGGATCATTCGTCTTACCGATAAAATGGTTCAAGCAGAGCTATAAAACAAGCTCTGCATGTTAGCAATGGAGGTGGAACAAGGAATTTTTGTGCTGCCTTCTTACCTGGATCGTCAAAGCCGTCTGATGGTTGATGGGTAGTAGCGTACACAAGAAGCATATTAGCCAGGTTTCCGGGTAAGCAGCAGCATGACACAATGACCCACCTTTCCAACACCACCATCACCAAGTACAACTATAAAGTAGAGCGACATTGCGTTGCGTGTGTGTGTGCGAGTGCGTCTATTTTTTATGCTGTTTGAGAATGATCATCAATCAAAAGTCAGTCATTGTCATTATTCATGCAAGAAATAGATCGGAAGCAACCCAATATGGTACCTTGTTTGGATATGTATGTTTTCAACAGGTTCAATCCTTATGTATGTGTGTACGCTTGCAAACCAGAGTCTCGAGTCAATGAGAGAGTGTCGAAGTGGGAATTATGCAAGTTGAAATGGAAGCAAGCGTGAATGTGAATGGGGCAATGGCAGCTTTGTAAATGACACAGAGTCACGAGCAAAAGGATTTTCTGCAAGAAGTGAATAAAAAAGGAGGAAGAAAGAGAGAGAGAAGAATGGAATAAAAAGAATGGCGGCAAGGACTTAAATGTAAAGAGAGAGTGTGAAGGAGGAAGGGGATGTTCGTGCCATTCGGAACGAGAAAGCTTAGGTGCTACACTGTTCTTCTCTTTTTGTCGCATGAACGTTGTTGGCACCAAGCCCAACACTGGCAAGCTCGTACACATATAGACACATGCACACACACGCACACACACGCCGGTGCTCACGATCGCACCTGATAATCATGGCCCCATACATACTGCCCTTTCAGTCATCATCATTTTCATTATCCCCATGGCGATAACCCACGTTGCATAGCAACCCACATCACACATACAACGAATCAAGGTGCGCAATTTGGGTATAACAAGAATAAAGAAAACAAGGTTTCTTGATGCTTCGATGGCCAAGTGCAGCAACTTTCTTTTTTGCTACGGGAACACAAGGACAAAACAAAGACGCATCGGCTGTAAATCATCCGCCTAACCTCGAAAGGAAAACGCTTGTGTGCAAAAATTGGGGCCCATGCTTCATGTGCAAACATGCTGTATTTTATAGCAAGGAACATCAATGACATTACACCTTAAAGAACGAGGAAAGGGGGTACGGCAAATGCTTAAACGATGTTGATGCCTAGTTTGATGTGTGGGAAGTGGATCGATCTCTTCCTCCTTTTGCCATACCGCGGTTCCCATCCAATGGTACGGTTCACGCTAGACTTTTTGGCATTATGTTGGGTGAAAGCCATTTGTAATATGCATTTAAACAAAGGGTGGTATCTACGTAGTCGATCTCTTTGACATTTGTAATGAGCACATTGTATATCGCATGGTGAGAATATAGCGTTAGATATACCGCTTGTTGAAAAAGACAAAGCAAATGACAACTCCATGACAGGTGAAGGCGCACAACATGACCGGAAAACTAACACAAACAAACCCGGATGAACAATGAAAGAGTATGCCATCCTACCTTTTGATATGTTTCCCTCATCGATTGATGATGAATGTTTGTACATAAACTTCCAAGGTTTACAGTATATGTCGGGACGTACAGCTTTCTGTTATATCCCATGCTTATCCGGATGCTGTGCATTCGTGGCTCAGCACCCCTTGGGGTCCCAATACCAATACTTTGTAATGCTCCTTTGCATGAAACATTGTTTAGCAGCATGATAATCTAAAACTTATTTACGACATCGTTCGATTACTATCCAGCCAAATATTCAAATGCATTCATTGAGTAAAAGGATAAAAATACATATTAGAATATAGAAAGTGGGTTTATTTGGTGGTGAATGTGGTGTGATGCTGTCATTGTTCTATGCCCATGGCGTATTTCATGATCTCCGCCTACATAAGGTATATGGTTAACATGCATGTAAAGAATAGTGGCTATGCGGCGCTTCTTTTGTCCGAGAGCCATTGTTGCTGTCCCATCCTGCTTACCTTTACAAAATCAAGTTGATTGACGCTGGATAAACCAAGTGAGCGGATCCAAGTGATCGGGGCAAAATCAGTGGTGTACAAGCGGTGAAGTTTGTCACAAGCGCTGATCATGAGCAAGTTGCGAAGGTATCTCACAGAAGCGTACTCTCTCAAAAGATGTAAATTGCCAATATCCATTCCTTCAGAAGCACCTCGTTGCAAGATATCCGATAAGCACGCCACATCGAGAATGCCTTGATTGAGACCTTGACCGGCCAATGGATGAACCGTATGTGCTGCATCACTAGATGACCACCCACAAAACATCATATCATCAATAAGGACTTGTATGTAGAATTTCTCAAAAGCTTACCCAACAAGGACGACTCTATCAGCGAAATACTGCTGCGAATTTCTCATACGCAATGGGAAGCTTGCACGACTTGTCTCATCAACTGACTCGACAATGGGAGGAAACAAAAGTTCCCGTTCCATCAATTCCATGTCACCCAAACCATGCTTGGCAACGCCTTGTCTCCAGTTGTATTCCGAGTCAAAGTCGCACAGAGGTTCAAATGTGGTAGGATCAATCTTGGATCGTAGATACTCGAGATCTTCCATAGACAACCGGAATGCGCTGTTGACAAGAGTACAAAATGCTTGTGCAGGAATCTTTTTTACTTTTTGGGCCATATCGGGAGGCATCGACCACACCATGGATGCGTGCCCGTCTCCAAGCTAGTTCATGAAATGGCAATGATCAGCATCTTGTGTCCCCAAATGTTGTTATGTATTACACGCACTGGAAGCATTGCAATGGGTCCCGTTGGCAAAAAACGTTGATACGCCGTATCATTCTTTCTCGAAGGGTCCGTCTTGAAAGTAGCCACTACTCCATGCATGTTGTAATCCCATCCTAATGACTCGATCTTTGCAAAGCTGCGTACAGGGCTATTGACACCATCAGCTCCCACCTAAACATGTCAAAGGTTGGTCCTTCCTTCCTTCCTTCCCTTCCAATGATCCTCTATTGTCACATGCTTACCAGTAAACGTGCTTGTAATGCCCTTCCATCTTCCATTTCAATAATGGGCCAGTCCGAAAGATCAAGTGTTTCCTCTGCCTCCTTCACATCTTGTTGTTCCTGCATACGGATGGAAGCGACACGTGCCTTTTGCATGATATCCACTGTTGCGCCTTTGCCGTGAGATGTCTGCAAGGTCTTCAGAATACTATGTTGCAAATGGACGTTTTCAATCATGTAGGCGATTGGCAGGTCGTCTGGATTGGTGCTGGTGCTTAGCAAATTGGTATCAAACTCAATACTCGCGTTGGTGACACCATCAGAGACTTTCATGCAGTTGTATGGCTGGATACGATCTCGATGTAACTCGTCAGCAACGCCAATCTCTAATAACGTCCATTAGATCCCTGTATCGAAGGAAGAATAGCAAACCTTACTTTGAAAGAATTGCATGGATGCGGGTGTAAGAGACACGACACGGTTGGAGTAACGACCCGTAGCAGGTGCCCAGTTGTTTGTATTTGACAGATCCATAGCTTCAATAAGTGCGATACGATAGTCCTTCATGGATGGATTGGTTGCTATACGTTATGAAGCATACGATATCAGTACCACGACATGAAGAAGAATGAACATAAAGGATGCCATCGTACCAAGAGAACAAGCGAGTGCCGTTCCTGCAATGCCACCTCCAACAATCACCATGTCGTATACATTGTCTAGCTTGTTATTGATGGCTGTTGCAAAACCGCGTGCTGATAATGTGCGTTGCCATGCTGGTCGAGAGGGAAGAGTTGTGCGTAGTAGCAATGAAGAAAGACGCGACGATCGGCGTGCAGCCATTGTGGTGTAAACAAAATAGGATACAACATGCCATTTTTTGACGGAGTCGAGAGGTCAAAGCGCAATTCCACCCTTTGATGCTGTGCACTTGGAAAACCCCCTCCTTAATCACAGATGGTCGTGGCAGTGTCTAATGACAATGATCCTATAGCCATAATGATAGTTCAACAACTTCTTCATGCATCTAGTCATTGAATGATTTAATAAATACCAAGGTGTTGCCTTAAGATCATTCACTTGAATTGATACAACAATTGCAAAGCTCTTCGGGTGCATTTACAGCGTATAGAATAAATGATCTTGAATACGGATAGCATGGAATTTACACCAGTGACATGAAAAAGATGAAACAAGGGAAAAAGATCCATCACGCCTTCTAATGCTCGATCAGCAGCTGATTACTCTTGCTATTGCGCTGTTGAGCTTATGGGGAGAAGTAATCCCAAATCAGCACATCTTGCTTATGAAGTATGAAAGGCCTTGATGATAATATTACAAGTTGTAAGCGCACTTTCAATGTGTACATAGTTGATTTCGCTTTTGCTATGGCAACTCTTTTTTGACACCACCACCCACCACAGCCAGTTGCGGAGATTCAGATGTCATCGTGCAAGAAGAGTACACCATGATGAACGAAGAATGATGTCCACCCGCTGCAATACAAATTACAACTGGTGCGTGCATATACCATAATTGATGACATAGTGAGTTATCTATTACAACAATCATTTGATAAGGTTCTCTCATGATCAAGTGACTTTGATATTTTCCCGAGGTACCCCGCCTTTTAGCCCCAGTTTCTTTGACTGAAAGGATCTCCGCATCAACCCAATATCAACATGTTGGGGTATGGAGAAGAAGAATGCATAGAGCGTATTGAATGAACAAGGGTGCAATGACAACTTGTATTATGGATCATGGTACATCAAATTGGAAAGAACACTATCAATGTCAGGGGCCGAACCTATCATTGCTACAATAAATGAATTGGATACAATCAAGCTTTGCGGGATAGAGCGGGACCATCGCACATCATACATCCTCCACCAGTAGATAATACATATAAAGAGCCACTTGTTCCAACAATCTCCACATCTTCTTGTCCCCCGATACTATGTCATCCATGCAAACCTCAACACCACCACCTGTTCCAGTCTTCATATTAATGGGCACTGCAGGATGCGGCAAGACATCCGTTGCCGAGGAAATGCAAAAGTTGCTTCAGTGTGAATATATAGAGGGTGATCAGCTGCATCCCAAGGCCAATGTTGACAAAATGAGCAGAGGTAGGATATGGGAATTGGGAATCCATTGACGGCATGCTGACATGAACGAATAGGTGAACCCTTGAATGACGACGATCGGTACCCTTGGTTACAAGTTATTGCAAACGTTCTTGAAGAGAAGGCTAAGGCGCTGCAAGGACAAGATGTGTCATCCACCAAGAGAGTGATTATCCTCACGTGCTCCTCTTTACGCAAGGCATACCGTGATCTTTTACGCAAGGTGCCACAAGCAAATGCAACCATCACATTTGTTTATCTCAAAGGCTCTCCCGAATTGTTGTTGGAACGAATCACTGGTCGTAAGGGTCACTTTATGGCAGCCAAGATGCTTGAATCACAACTGGATACCCTTGAGGAACCTGATCCATCGCAAGAGAATGTCATTGTTGCTGATATCCGCAAGGATCCCCCCACTTTGGCAAGGTGGATTGTGGATGAAGCTCATTCACGTACCATTTTATCCTAACTTTTTGTCACTCATTGTCCGCCGCCTCCTCCTCTATGTATCATGATCCTCCCTCCCCCACATCTTCTAGACTTCATATGGTTTTGGAATAGACACAGCTTATATTCTCTTTTTTCTTTGCGTGCGTGCACATTCCTAAAAATAGTCAAGTGCAATATTTGGGCAAATATGCAAATGGGAATCCTGTAGAATGTTATGTCATCACAACAACAACCTGATGATCCACTGCAAGAATAGCGTCAGCCGCCTCTCACCCAACAACACGTCCTTGCCAGGAAAAGCACATGCGCCTATCTATTTTTATACACTCCTTCATCAGTGGATTCAAACTACAAAAGCCAAGCCCATTAGTACCCAAAGTAGACCGGGATTAAGGGATGCAAGGGATCGGCAGCTGTTCCGCAAACGTGGATAATGGTGTGTGTGTGCTTTACTACTTTGAAACTACAGCGGACGCATAAAAACCGCTCGAAGTGAGGGGAATCCAAGGAATGATAAATTGCTCTCTTTTGTTGTGCTTTCTCTCTTTTCCCCCTCGTTTCATCTATTCTACTTGGCTATTATGGGCGTGACAGATTGCATACTTTATCTTACAACCCCCGAATTTGTTCCTTGCTTGGTAGCAGGGTATGGTGGATACGATAAGCACACCAAAGGAACAGCTGGCTAACTTATCATAGTGACGTTTGACAGGATCTTGTATGGCATTGGTGCTATTATTCTTTACGACAAGTCAAAGCGACACAAGTTCTTTTTATCTTACTTTTATCTTGGCAGTGGAGCATGTACGTAAAAGAGATGGCGACAAAGAAAACGCGTTTGCATGATATTGATGGTATAAATCATCATAGTGCTCTACTCCGTTGCCGAGGTGTTTGATCTTGTGTGGAACCGCAGCGAGGGTGAAAAGAGCGACTTTCCATTACACGCATCACTTTTACTACTCACCTTTGGTGGCACATTCTTCCTCCTTGCACTGTTTCGATTATTAGAAACATGGCAACAAGTGGGTATGCGTGAAGGACGGAGGTCATTGTCAATGCTAGCCCCTGGTGCTATCCTGATAGCCATGTTGATATCCATGGTGGGTGACGTATTGATGGTACAGCAAGATCAAGCAGCTGAGCACGATGATGAGGATGTTGCCAAGACACGTGTGGCGCTTCAGTTACAAACCGCAGGTGCTGTGATGAACTTAGTGATCCTGGTTGTGTTCTTTGTATTCCTTGGGAGTTTGGCACGTCGTAGGAAGGGGCAATCAGTACTTGCCATCGTGTTGGCATGCCTTGGAGGGTTGATCTTGATTCGTTGGGTATATAACAGCTACTTGCTTGGTAGCATGTTGATGCATGTTATGCAAGCTGAGGATGCCGATTATAGTGTGGATCTTCCAGGTTGGCCAGTCTTTATCGGCTTATTCATCGTTCCAGAGATATTGGCAATCGCTTTGTCGATCTTGTACGACTTGACCCAGGTCAAAAATGGTGTGGAGGTAAGGGCTGCTTTTGGAGTCAGCGTGCACACACACACACACACAACAACTCACACGACCTCTGTAAATCTTAGCAACTTCAACACCATGGCTTTGTTCACTTGAACGAGGCGCAGGGCATGCAGCACGTATAACCTACCTACCAACCACAAAGAAAAAAATAGAGATGATATCCTACTCCACCTTTACTTTCACTTATCCCATACCCCCATTTCATTGTTTCACTTTGTTTCTTGTTTAGTATGTATCTTTAGGCGTATTTGTTGTATAAAGCACTCATATCATCATTCCTCCGAATTTGGTCATCACATCACCATGGACACGTGAACATGGCTGGGGTGAGGAGATTAGGGCCACGCCGCATAATCCTGCGGGCTGTATTCTACCTTTTGCCTTTTTAGCCCCTACCACTCTTTTCTTACATGGACTCACTCGATCGTCTCAACAACGACCAAAAGGACCTTCTAAACCAGTTTCAGGTACGCAACATGTCCACACCAGAACAACTTGAGACTCAATGCAAGAGATTGTCTCTATATGCAACAGGCAATAACCCAGTCTGATGACTTGGAGACGTCCATAAGCAGATTGGAACATTACAACTGGAACTTGGAGGTATGTTTGAACAAGACCACTTTATTCATCAAGGACTCAATGTCGACTATCCTATAGAGAGCTGTTGAAAGTGTATACGATGCCAACAATTCCCATGACGCTGAGCGAGAGAAGTTGGAACAAGAGGTCGCGTCAAGTGCACAGTCGACTAGCAACAGCCGCAGCTCACCTTTAGAAACGGATCCGTTGACAAGGAGTAGTAGTTCATCATCCACACCACCACCTATCCCACCAGCATCACATCGACGACAACGTCCTCGTTTCAGTCTCTTATCATTGTTGACGTGGCCATTTGGTGTCGCATGGAATATCACATGGGCTATTCTTTCCTTTGCATGTAAGCAACAACAACAATGATGATGGATTTAATTAAGGTATACTTACATGTGTCTTGCATACATAGCTCGTATTTTGTCTCGCCCATCCATCACAAACACCTCCTCCTCCTCCTCCAATCGAGCTACTTCTTCTCAGCAACGACAAGATCCACGCACCGTTGCAGCACGATTCCTGCGTGAATTTGAACTCAAATATGGAGAGACCCACATTGATTTCTTCCAAGGAGGATACTCACAAGCATTGGAGATCGCTCGTCGTGACCTGCGTTTCCTTTTGGTGGTTTTGCAAAGTGATGAACATGATGATACCGATGCCTTTTGCAGGTAATTAGGTGGAAAAGGATGGATGATGTCAAAGGAACGTGCTTACCATTGTTATAGGCAAACATTGACGTCAAATGAGTTGATTGATTATCTTCACCAAAAGAACGTGTTAGTATGGGGTGGCAATGTACGTGAATCGGAAGCTTTCCAAGGTAAATGAATATCAAGATGACAACACGCAATACGATACCAATGCATTATAGTCAGCAGCACGTTACAAGCAACCATGTATCCATTTATGGCAATTATTGCCTTGCAGTCTTCCAACAACGCCTCATCAAGAGCCATGAAAATGTCGGTCGTTGATAGAGTTGAAGGATTAACAGACGTATCCACGATTATTCGGCGTTTTGATACGATGATCCAGCGCTATGGTGGAGCCATCAATCGACTTCGAATGGAGCGTGATCAACGTGATATGGAACGACGACTTCGTGAAGAACAAGATAGAGCTTATTTGGAAAGTCTTAAAGCCGACCAAGAAAAGGTACATGATGGCATTGGGATCTCTTTTCGTATAGTGAATGCTCATCTGGAGTGTTCTTTTAATAGGAACGACAAGCACGTGAAGCACGTGAGGAAGCTGCACGAGCAGAAGAAGCAGCCAAACTTGCTGAACAAGAACGTTTGGAACAAGCAGAGAAACGACAACAATACATTCGTTACTTGTGCCGTACCCTTGCTCCTGAACCTGATTCAAGCTATGATGGCAAAGTAGCCAAGCTAAGTTTCCGTTTGGCTGATGGTGAACGTGTGATTCGCAAGTTTAAAGATGAGGATACATTGGAGGCAAGTTTAATAGGATGCATAACAACAATGCCAAGTGCTAACATGTATCTAATAGACCTTGTACAAATTTGTCGAGGCGTATCCATTAGTCAAAGCCAAAGAAGACGTGAGCGACGCTGAACTTCCCACCAACTACACACACAAGTACAACTTCACCATCATCTCGCCTTATCCCAGAACTGTGTATGAACCAAGTGGCTCCAAAATGGTGTCAGAAGAAAAGGGGCTTTGGCCAAGTGCTACACTTATTGTAGATGCAGATGTTATTGATGAGGAAGATGAGGAATAAAGAAAAATGACATTTGCAAGTCGTTGCTACAAACATTGGCTGGCTGTTTTCTCGATTTATTAATTTATTGCTGACGAGGACGTAATTAGAAGGTAACTTAGAGACACAACTCGATTTTAGATGAATTGGAAGTGTGTGGTTTCTATGTGAATAATACTCCAATGATGTTTTCCTTTTGGAAACAGATGTTGAATCTTTTGGAGAATGATGTTTAGAAACCGCCGGGAAGAATATCACCGACAGCACTGGCAACATCACTAACAGCATTACCAGCGTTCGAAAGAAGATCACCAGCAGCTTTAGTGACGTCTGAAACGGCATCGCCAACGGCGTCAGTGACGTCAGAGATAGCATCACCAGCAGCATCAGTGACATCCGATACGAGATCACCAATAGGACCTTGAGAGTCGGATGATGAGGGCTCAGGAGCGCCAGTGGGGAAAAGACGATCCAAGAGGGATGAGATCTCATCCTCACCGATCTCCACTAATGATTTGATATTGCATAATAAGAATACATGCCTATATATACCAACCACTGTAACAACTTACAAAGAGCGCTTTCGCTGGTGGTGGTAGTGACAACGGTGGTGGTGGCAGTGGTGGTTGTGGTGGCACCGCCATTGATCAACTCAACGACTTGGACAACAGTAGTACCATCTTCGATGAGGGTGTTAGTTACGGTCTCATCACGTTTGACGATGCTATGGTTGATCAAATGTCAGTCATCTTGATGTAAATGTTGTTGTTGACTACTCACGCTGGGGAAGCAGCAGCGATCGAGGCAACAGCAGCAAGGGCAACAGCAGTGAACTTCATGATAAATACAATAATAAAATGGGTATGTGATATGTACTGATACTTTCCAATGCGTTGTCGGCTATTGTTCTCGTTTATATAAGCCTTGTCACCATGGTGATAGGAATGTTTTGAAAGAGGTGGCGAGTGTATGTGTGTACGTGCGCGTGCGTGTGTGTGTATGCGTGCATGCACGTAGAAAGCACCCTACACATTCCTGAGATTGGTACTCGTTGCAAGATACAGCTTCATTTTTGGATCAATTTTCAATTGCTGATGGTGCTATAACTGCTGCCGTATGTTTGCCTTGTAGCTTAGGGACAAAAGATCAAGATACAGTAGCACAAATGTTCTTCTCGTATCCTAGCAACCTCCCCTTTCTTCACTTTTCTTCCTGAACAATGCTCTTTAACGCCTCTCTTTCATCATGTCTTTCTTTCTTTGCATTCATCGATAATCAGACCAAAGGATACAGAATAAAAAATGGCCGATGTTGGATGTGTTGTGGTCTCGACTAGAGGCTGTGTACGTGGCCTAGGATAATAATTCCTGCCAACCAAGTCGGAATGACCCACACGCCTCACCACCCCCTGAAAATCAGAATTCCCGTGACAACACCTTACCAAGTCAGCCGATAAAGAAACATTCAACGTCGCTTGGTTTAGATAGGAAGAGTGAGTGAGCTGCCAATGTCGTGCACTGTCTTTGCGAAGGTATGTCTCATTGTTTGTTGTCAAAGCATTATGCAAATCATGCTTGTCCCACATTACACAAATTACAATGCTGCATGAAACGGGATTCTTCCATCTGAGGCTTTTTTCATGTTTCCTTTACTTCAGCTTAGCGGATGTAATGGTTCATACTATACAAGCGTCAATATGAAAGATGAATGATATGTAGACTCCATTGTGCAATTGATAGTAGTAGAGAAAGGAAAACTTTAAGAGTGTAATGTTATATAACACGTGGTGCTCTATTATAAATGAAAATAGGGTTTTCTATCTACCATAATTCAAACATATCACTGGGCCATTGACCAGTTTCACGGCATTGCCAATATTGGCCGGTATACTGGAACGATTGGGGTGTGTTGGGTGTGGGGCTATCTTCTGGTTGAGGAATAAAGGATGGATCTGCGTATGCATCTTGTTGGAGTGTAAACCAGCGTGGTTTCCAAACAACGCCTTGCTGCTCAAATTCCTTCCGTCGCTCACGCTGCTTTTGCTCTATCCGCTGTTTCTCGGCATCTGCCTCATCGACAAGACCTAAAGTGATCCTGCATGTGAGTAAAATTAAGCGTGAGTTATAGCTTCGTTATCACGTTACCGTTTTCATATAATCGTTGATCGGGGCGATAACGTGTGTCGGTGATGGGGATCTTGTCTCGTTCGATTTCAGTGATCTCGTTAAGCTCCACGCAATAACGAGTGAATCCATAATACTTTGAGTAGTCTTCTAATCCAGGTGGATTGGCTGTCCAAAGAACATTGAGCTTGCGTTTGTTCATGTCCACTTCCTCTGATAACTTGTCGCTCCATTTGCCCACCACACGACGGCATTTCTTTCCATTGCTATCAAAGAATGTAGCCACAATGTCGTTACGATTCGAAGGTGCGCCAAACAAGCCGCCACCAGTGCCTTCCTTGAATGTCACGGTCGCGTATTCACCCGTGGCATGATTGGTGACACGCATCTCACCAGCTGTCTCGAGGTACTTTTCACCGGCAATCATATTACGCATCCAGCTTGATGGCTTGTTGTATGTGAAATGGTCATCTTGTCCAGTGAGAGTCACATGGAATGTTCCTTCGGTCATGAATTCCTGTAATCAATCATGTCAATACGCTGCACTACTACTCCCTTGATATGCCCATTACACTTACCATTGACTTGCCCCAGAATTTGCTTTTGATCTTTGTGCTTTGCCAGTACTTGTACTTTTTAGCTTCAGCGTATGCCTAAAAGTAATCATTTGTATCAGTGATCGGATGAAAATGAAAAAAGCCAAAGGTGGGATACGTACAGCAACGATTAATGGATTGTGTGAAACCTTCTCCGAAATAAAGCGGAAGCCTTTGTCAGGTCGAATGCATTCGTATGTTTCAGTCATCATGGGATTAAATGGCTATCCAAAAACATATAAATTACCATATCCTTTGTATCTACTGCCCATCTTCTTACCTTTCGGCCTGTTCGATATTGTGATGAAGCGTAACTTGATACAGCAAAGATGGCAATATGAATCAAGCGATCCATTGAATCTGAAAGGGTGGACGCCTTATCCAAGAGATCGCAATATTCAAGCTCCTCACAAGCACGTTGAAGCATGCTAAGTGGCTCATTCATGCTGATTGGCATAGAGATGGTCGAGAGATCCTTGCCGACATTCTTGCGGAATACTGATAGTGCTGATCCGACATCACCCACAGCATGCGATGGAAGGCAATTTCGGCGTACGACGTCACCAGCAATACTAAGTTCCAACGAGCCATCACTTTCCTGCTCATTTGTCTCGGTATCTAGTATAGATAGCATAAATAAAACGGGACTTTTTCGTATTGGATATAATCATACCTTCATCATCATCACTGCTATCGTCATTGCCTTCTTCCTCGTCACCCTCTTCCAAAAAGTCGTCATCACCACCACTTAGAATAATATCCTCAGCATCGTAAAATAGATCAGAGACAGAGGAACGTGCGCTAGTGGACATGCGATTGAGATCTGAGGAGGGCTCGAATTCGCCATTCTGGTAGGTGGGTGCTGAATGTGTAGTATTGGATAGAGCCTCATGAATCACTTGCCAATGATTTTGCTGTTCCTTGGTGTAGGTTGAGATCTCGTTACGATCACGTTCAAGCTGTTGCGTGAGACCAGCAATCTTGGGCGTCAATTCTTGAGTACCAGGAACATGTGAAACTTGATCCAACAATGCCTTGAGCACATTGATGTTCTCAGCAAATCGATCCACCGTAGCACCCAATCCACGAGCACTTTGTAAACCACGGTCAATTTCTTGATGCAATGGGCTTGATTGCTCATCCGATGATGCCAAAGGATCCGTGCCATTACCATTGACGTCAACATTGCCACCAGAACGATAAGCGCGGAATGCATCGGTCCATCGATCATGATCCTCCGTTGTAAGCGTCTTTAGATGATACAACATTGTACCCGAATCAATATGGATCAAACGTTGGTCTGGGTTGGACGAGATGGTGGCCAGCATGATTTGAATTGAGCCTCGTGTAACGCTTGTGGGTGAAATGGAGTAGGACAAGACACCAGAGGGTGAAAGCTGAAACCATCGTTTGGCCCATCCTGTTGTTGTGTATCCAATATCAGCATCCTTTCACTCTCCAATCACATGTCTAATTACCTTGCATCTTTTTGCGTTTCTTTTTGAGTAACCAACCCGAGATTTCATACTGAGAAGCGGATGATTGCATGCCACCTTCCACAAGAGCCACCGAAAATGTGAGCGTCTTTGCCTTGTTGCGAGAGAATGTGTTATCTATCAATGCATTCGATATTAATACAATCATTCATTCATTCATTTATACACCCATTCCATACATACCAAACACGAGAACATAGTTTCCAGGCTCTTCAACAACATAAGATCCTTCGATCTTGACGCTACTCGAGTTCATATGCTGGATCGGGATAATTTCATCAAGGCCCTGTTCCCTGAGCTTAGTCGAAGCTACGGATTTCGCCCGTGGACGTCCTGCAATGCTGCCGTTCAAGGATGGAGCGTGGCCATTGCCGTTTTCAGACTCATCGTCGTCTACAAGAAGAAAGAAATTAGCGATGAGTGGGGGTGGGAATGGGTGTGTAGCTAGGCTTGTTTATCCAAAGACAATATACCTTGATGTTTGCGAAGGCTGCCATTGTCGTTTAAGAGCAATTCACCTGCTGAATGCTGTCGTTGTTGTTGAGCATGGAAGATGATCTCGGAGGAAGAGGGAAGTGGAGCTTGTCCTCGACGTCGATAAACACCAAATGCGATATTATTACGTCTTGTTGTAAAAGACCAACGTATGGCGGTACCCTTGGAAGGCACATAGATATAATGGAGATAAGAGTCTCTTGGCTGCACTTGGACAACCTCCATAATGTGAGAGAGAAAGGAAAGAAAGAGAACCTAGGAAAGGGGAGAATAAAGGAAGGGATATGGTTATAGAATCTGTAATGTGGATATGTGAGTGTTGGTGTGTGTGTGTGTGGTAATACACACGCGCTGATATTCAATGAATTTATATAACAAGAAGGAGGAGGGGGAAAATCGGGTTTTGTTACCTATGCGCACGGGCTCGCTCAGCATTACAACAGTTGATGCCACCGTAATGACGAGGGGAACACGTTTTAATGATTGGCTCTGCCCTGCATATCTACACCTTAACCTTGGTGTGTGTGTCATCAGTAACATACCCAAATAGGCGCTCACATGTCAGAACCCGCTTAAACCCCACAAGCCTTTTTACTCTCGTTCCAAATACGGTAATAAAGCAGCTCATTTATCTTTCTTTTACCGTCATCCTATATTACTTTGCAGAAAAAATGCATCATCAAAACCCATTCGATTCAATAGAACAACCCAAGCATCACCCTATGTGATCATAGGAGCTTCCTTGATGTAATAACATCACCTGCATACATTTGGTTTTACGGTCTAGTGGTGGTGATGTATGCACCATTTTGTGTTCTTTGATTCACGTGAAGACATTCCAGCTTGTCAACTGCAACAAACGGCTTTTAAATTCCAGCACATATAAAGGAGTTGTAAAGGCATGCGCTGTTGGGGTGCTATTCAACAACGGAGTAGATAGCAGCATACCATGTTAACCACGCCCATGTGGTAGAACCTCCTTTTGTAGCGTTCTGCTAAGATAAATTAGTCACCACAAAGTGATTGTGATAGAGATCGTATACCTATTTGCATCAGCAAAAGAGTACTCTCGACTTCACATACATCATGAATTGGATAAGGGATGTGAAATGCATAATAATGGCATGTGTGTGAATCTATATGGATAACGTCGTTTCATGGTCAACGATGATGTAAGGGTAAACCCATCCATGTCCCAATGACAAGACTATAAAAGTGCAGGTGGATATCATTGTTCAACAAGATAAATTTTATACAACGGACGCAAAAAGAGCCATCTTCATATTATACAGCAGCACTCTCACTAGCCGATAAACTAATAATCAAGCCTCTACGAGCGTTGACGAACCACCAAGTCAAGGAACTACATAAGATGCAACATTGGATTAATCATCAGCAGTGTGTCAAGGGTATCCATCAACGTACACTTTCATAGTTAATACGAATCCATCCATCACTATCGGTATCGAATTGTCTGAAAGAATCTGTCAAAGTCTTGACGGTGACACAGGCTTGAACAAAGTTGTCAAATGTCACATCACCCTTGCCTTGGCTCCATTTTCCTGTTTTATAGATGCATGATGATCAGCATGAGTCTACACATTACATGAATGAACCCACCATATTTGTCAAACTTGTTGATCAGCAAGTTGATAAACCCATCTGAAAGGTTGTATCCAAAAGCACGAAGGGCGTTACCCATTTCCTTGCGATCGATGCTTCCTGAACCATCCTGGTCAAATGCACCAAAGCAACGTTTCCAATCTTCCACATAGCGCCAAAGACCACCGAATTCGTTGAAGCCAATGGTACCACTTTGGTCCTTTACATAAGCAACATGAGCTTTCTTACTCTGCTGTTTGATATGCACATATATGATCATACCCTAAACACCCATAGATTAGCTTTGTCAATTTGACACAATCTCAATCCATCATCCATCATCACTTACTGGTCAAACATGTTCACCATCATGCGCACGGTTTCAATATTGAAGGGGCTCCAGTCACCATTAATCAAAGCCTTTTGCAACTCATCAGCAGTAAGCTGACCAGAGCCATCGGTATCGACAGCCTTGAACCATCCGTATAGCTGTTGGTTAAGCTCGGGAGGGATAGGGGGTGGTGCCTGACCTAGGGTACATAATAATAGTTAACACGCTGCTTGCTTGTTCCCATCTTGTAGTTGCTTTTGTTGGATGAGCTTGTCAATGTTTACCTTGAGCCTGTTGGTAACCTTGAGCAGGAGATCCGAATGTCATTGAACTGGAGATGTGAGTTTATAGGAAGCAAAGCAAAAGAAAAGATAAAAAAAAGTACGCTGACGTGACAAGAAGGCACTATAGAAGAATCCCCACACATTGTACTCTATTGACGGATTCATCCAATCAATTGCAGTTGTACGACGTTTGCAGCAGCAATTTGCATATTGGACAGGCCATGGCGTTTCTTTTCGCGTTCTATTCCAATCAAAGAGACAGGTTGGTATCCTATTAACTTTTGAGTGTGCATTTTGATGCATGATCCCTCATCTGCTTGCTTATAGTACACATCATCTAGTTCCTAGTTTTCTTTGTTTCTCGGATGCTTCGGCAGTGTTTTGACTCAGTAGGCTCCGAGTTTGGACCAACGATTGGCTCCGTATGCCCGCCTGTACTTTCTTTCTCTGCTCTCTCTTTTGATATTTATTTCTTTGTTCCTTCTTCTTCTTTAAACCCCCACTCACCCCACACCGATCGTTCAATGCACTCTTGTCATTCCCCCGATTCTACCAACAGAGGGGCACAACGCTTTTGGATACCTTCCATGCACGTCGATGGCATGAACTCATACCCGCCGTACTTTGATGTAAGCTGACATTGGCAACCTTGCTCAACCTGGCAACACGCGTAGCTCACCGACCAAAGACGATTGTAGCTGGTGCTATTGGCGGCTCCACAGCCGACTTTTTGATGCATAGGTATGTATCTTCATTCCTCGAGAATGATGCGTGCGCGCGTCATGGGTGCCGGAAGATATTAACCGACCTTATGGATACAGCGTGGATACAGTCAAGACTCGAGTACAAGGACAACCTCATCATCGACCACTGAAATATCATAGTATGATACAAGCCTACAAGTTGATATGGAAGGAGGAAGGAATATTACGAGGATTGTATGCAGGCGTGACACCTGCCATGTTGGGATCAGGTTTGTGTATATAATGGGCCGCTTGTCATGTCATCAGCTGACAGGGGAAAATGTGTTGTGTTGTATATAGTACCCGCCACTGCAACCTATTTCAGCATTTACGAATTCACAAAGAGGAATTTGACGGCAAATCATGTCCCGGAAGTCGTTTCACATTTAACAGCTGGTGCTCTTGGTGATCTTATCGCATCCATCTTCTATGTCCCATCCGAGGTCCTCAAGACACGGCTACAACTCCAAGGTCGATACAACAATCCTCATTTTATCAGTGGATACAATTATAAGGGAACATGGCATGCAACGAGAACGGTATGTATATTTGTGGGGGGGAGGGTATCAAATTGATATAGCGAACATCAAAGGCTGATTGATATACCTCCTTAGATTATCAAGTATGATGGCTTTGGTGCCCTATTCCATGGATTTACAGCTACCATCTTGCGTGATGTTCCATACTCTGCATTGCAATTTGCATGTTATGGTAAGTTTCCACTATACTACTACGGGGTACAAGTGACTTATGGGTTCCTTTTAGAACAATTTAAAAAGTTTGCCAAGCGACAATACAATGGCGAGCAGCTTCCAATGGCTGTTGATCTGGCAACCGGTTCTTTAGCAGGAGCCATCGCAGGTGCTATTACCACCCCATTGGACCTGATGAAAACTCTATTACAAACTCAACAGAATCGCAAAAAGGGATCGACAGCACCGCCTACACCTTCACCATCTGGAACAACACCAAAGCATTACAGTGGTATATGGGAAGGAATGATATGGAATTACAAGAGCCATGGATTACCAGGATTGTTCAGGGGAGTTGGACCACGCGTGTTTTGGACGAGTTGGCAAAGTGCTGCCATGTTTGTGGTGTACGAACAGGTCTTGCATGTGGAAGAAAAGTTACGAAAACAAGATATTTGGCCACCTACGGAAGCTGTCAAGAATCATGTCAGACTTTGAAAACCTGCATTATCCACATCATATCAATGCTTGCATCACGTTATACATATATTACATACACACACACACACACACACATCCTCAACAACCTCCTTCATTTGCTTTCCCTTATTGGTATTCCCATTTGACAGTGCACACCTGCCTCTTTAGTGTCCCTGCCACCTCCTTGTAAAGTTGTATACGACATTTAGACAAATAGAATGAGCCACGTTCATTATTGTATGCACCATTCTTTATTTACATTTATGTGCGACGTGATAGCACAAAGAAAATGGGGTGGATGGTTTAATTATGCTGATTGTTGAGATCAGGCAATGAAAATACAGCCCAAATCATCATGCATTAGAAAGTGTATGTAGCCATCTTAAGATACGTTTACAGGCATAGCCATAGAAACCATCAGCTGACAAAGTAGGCAACCATGATGCGATGGATATTGATATTATTGTTTACTGCCATTGTTGCATGAGTGCAAGACTTTAATGTTGGAGTCCCGCTAGCCGTGTTTGCTTCTTTTGCTCTTGCTCTTTCTCGGCACCCGTCTTGAATGCATCCACACCATCATCCCTTTTACGATTCATTCTGGTCACCAACAGCAGCACAAGATCCACTTCCCAACTTTTCATATGGATTGTCAGTGTTGCATCAGAAGCTCCAGCAGTCGATTGAAGAGAACACGGTGATTGCCAACTATCTGAGACAACGAGCTGCCGTCGAAAGGAGCTATGCACAACAACTTGCAAGTCTACAAGCGGTTCCCAAACCCGGCAAAGCCTTTGAACGTGATGTGGGTGCTGGTTTGAAAAAGTGCTTCGAAGTAGTACGCGCCGAGAGCATCGAATCAGTTGAGACGCATAGACGCCGAGGTGATAATCTTGTCAGTACAGCACTGGATCCTCTTGAACGATTTGGAGCACGCTATGAAAGGATTGTCACTCGTACTCGTAAAGATATGGAACAATGCATTGCACGATTTGATCAAAGTGGCAAGGAACTTGAGCAAGCCAAAGCAACGTACAATGCCAAATGCCGTGCACTTCAAATGGTCGATCCTGATTTTGTCCCACCCGATCAACCTACTTGGCTTGGCAGATGGACTTTTACACAACGCCAAATCGCTCATTTATTGGATACTATGGAGGATGGCATGAATGGACAAACGATATTGGATCGTGTCGTTATCTATTGTCAGCAACAAGAACCACCTACAACATTGGATGATGAGATTGATGATTGGGATCCATCCGTTGCTGGGATACGAAAAAGCAGCAGCAGCAGCACAGGCCGTCTCTCATGTGTCCGATTCACTGAACCAGAAAAGGATGCATTACAAATATGCGAAGCACTCGTTGCTCAAGGATTTCTACAAGCACAGAAACCAAGTAGTGGTTTTCGCCTTGATGTTCAATACATTCCACATTATCCAACAGGCGCTCTTGGGAAACCAGATGATTATGATGATAATGAACAACGACGATCCGTTGAGTCAACATCCAACAGCAGCAGCAGCATTGGTGGCATTTTCGGGAGATGGGGTCGTTCCAATCATAGTCAACAACAACAGCGTGATATTTTGATCCAAGAGATGAATCAGGCGGATAGGACTTATCGTGCTAGCGTGAAACATGCTGATCGTTTGCGAATGCAAACAGAGGAATCCTTGGTAAGGCATAGGAGAAGCAAAGCAAAAACATGGATGTAACGTTTTCTTTCCCTTTTAGTGTAATCACTATGAAGAAATGCAAAGTCTGGAACTAGAACGAGTGCAAACTATCAAGCAAGGTAAGCGACAAGATCCAAAAGGTATCACCGAGTTAACTTGCGGTATCACAGCTTTCATCACCATGGCAGCTACCTTGTCCAATACCATACCGCTTTGTGCAGAGCTTTATGATCGGATGATGCTATATCAGGAAACGCTCAAACCCGACAAGGATGTGGAGTTCATTGTCGAGCAATATCGCACAGGGAGATTTTGTCCAAGACCTATCCTTTACAACAATTTTTATTATGGCTCTGCTATGGGTACGTAGAAAACAAACAACCCCTCTTTCAACTTACTTACCACGAATATAGATCAAGTTTTTGGTGTCTCATTGGAAGAATATTCACGTATGCACAAGGTGGTGATCCCACCATTAATATCAAAAGGATTGGCTGCTATTGAAGCAGGTATGTGTATATGAGTTATCGATTTGAAGCATTGCTAACCAAGTAATGATAATAGGTTTCTCCAAGATATACAAAGAAGGTATGCTCTAGCAAAAGGATAAAGGGAAATGAGGTGCTGATATACATATGGATATTAGAGCGAGTCAAGATGTGGGTATCCGAACTTCAACTTGATCAAGCCCATGAAGCTCGTGAAAGGTTAAATGATCCGGCACGATCATTGGTGTATACTGCAGAGCATCTAGAGCGTTACGACGTGCAAGTTCTTACATCGGTGATCCGTTTGTACCTTATGGAACTACCCGAGTGCCTTATTACCTTCGAGCTATATGACCCTATCAAGCTGTTATATACCAATCGTAAGTATGGTATAGCATAGGCATGATGAATTCATCTAACATCTCTTTGTTGAAATAGAGCATTTAGACGATCCATCAAAAGTAGCATCCATCACAAAGTTGCTGGCGACTTTACCGTCATCTCATTATTACACGTTAAAAGCACTTATGGCTCATTTTCATGGGTATGTATGTTATACTGGTTTCGGGTTGATATGAATACTCATTTTGGGATACAAAGGATCGATCAAGTGGCTGATGACAATGAGGACAATGCAAAGTTGGATGATGGCCAAGAAGCACCAACGCCCATGAATGCATCCAAGGATATTGCCGCTAGTATCAGTCATATCCTGGTGAGACCACAAGTGGAATCAACACTCAATTTACACGATCGACATCCTTATCGATTGGTGCGTGATTTGATCAAGCATTATGATACCATATTTTCCGAGCAATCTGTTCAGTCTCATGAAAATCACATCCATCGTCGTGCTATTGTCGCTACGTCACCTACAAGCCCTGATAATGAGACTTCGCTTGATGATGATAACAACAATAATGGCTTTTCAGGATCGTCAGCAGCATCATCATCTGGATCATCCGTACTACTATCTACACCAACAACAAATGCCAACTTTGTTCATGACACTGATGAACCCCTTAAATCACCTACATCACCACGTAGTGGCAGTAAACGCAACTTGCTTTCATTTATGCGACGTAGCTCATCCACCGCTACATCTTCAAGTTCATCAGACCGCACGCCAACAACATCATCTATTCCCACAGCTTCAAGTACCCCACGTCGACCTATTCCAATGCCATCCAAAAGTACTCTTTTTGAAGATCCTGATGGTGATGACGATGATGAAGAAGATGACGAATCAAGGACAACACGACCTTCATCCAATGATGATCGCACCTCCTTATCAACAGAGGATCAGCCAATGAAAAATATGACATCAGATAAAGCATTACCCCCTGTGCCTTCCAATGAGACACCATCAACCAAAAAAGACGAACAAGGAGACAATGTTACCACCACAACAACAACATTACCCGATACCACCAACAAAGAGCCCATATCCATGGAGAAGGAAGGAGACAAACCACAACAACATCATTCAAGGATGTCATCGGTTGGAACATTCCAAGGAAGTCTTGATTCTTTCTTCAAAGATGATGATTTGTAGTAATTTAGATCTTTTTATTACTGATGTAAAATTCAAGTATGCAAGAAATCATAGTAGAATGCTGTGTGTGTATAATGGTTTCCTTTCCCTGTGCATAGAAGTATAACATAGTGTGCGTGTGTCTGTGATGTGGGTGGATATGGATGGATGGTGCAATAAGATGGATTTTTTTCTCAGTCTCTTACAATCAAACTTGGTAATATGCAAAATGATGGAAGAAGGCAAACGAGCGATGACGATGATGATGATGATGATGACGGGTTGCTAAATAATGCATGGATCATGTAATATGTATGCTTTTCCGGAAATTGTTCCCCAAATGATGATGATGACGATGACGATAGATGTTATGACCAGCTAAACCAAGAATCCCAACAACCACTTTCCCCTCAACAAATTCCAGAGATTACTTGATACTGCTGAGCGTGATTATCGTAGGTGTGTTGTTACTGGATTGGGAATCAGTGAAGTTGAGAGTTGGTGCTATCGGCGGCGGCGACGACGACATTGGTGGTGGCGTGTTGTTGTTGTTGTTGCTTGTCGTTGTCGTCATGGTTGTTTTCGATATCGTCGTCGTCGTCGTCGTCGTCTAGAAGCATAGCGTCGGCTTTAGAGTTGCCATCATCACGTGCTCTCGAGCAATCTGAGGCTGCCAAAGTAGTTGGGCATTGACCGGAAAAGCTAGGAACAGAGTCATGAATATAGTCAGGCCAGGTATCATCATCATTATTGTTATTCTCATCATCTCCTTGTACTTGAAAAAAACCACGAACCACAACAGCATCGTTTTTGTCGTCACCTCCGGATGTCATGGCACTGCTTGCAGGCTTTTTTCTTTTGCCGTCTTCGTCACCACCATCGGCTGATCCACCACTGGATGAGCTCACCTGTCCTATGCTATTGCCATTTGAGCTATAATCTGCAAGGCTACCACTATATATATGTATGTATGTTTACATGATGAGTGTTTATGAACATGTGCCATGTCAAAAGTCAACACATTACCTTCCTGGAGATTCAACAGAACGCATGAACTTTTGGGGATTTTGTTGGTCATATGATGATTGTTGATGACGATGATGTGGTTCATACGTGAGCCTGAATTCTCGAAGGTACTCTTGATAGCGCTAAATAATGGTTGATAAACAAGGGTCATGTGAGATGAGCTTATGAGATAGGACAAAAGGGGAAAGAAACACATGGAATGAAATAGAAAGTGGGTGTGTGTGCATTGTTCAATGGAGAAATAAGATTTGGGGTTGGGGGTGGTGATGATCCGGGTGCTGATTGCTTGATTTTGGGGGAGGATACCCCCACTTTATGCATTGTTGCATAATACGCAAGGGCTGAAAAGGGATACTAGAATCAACAACAGAAGCTTACCTTGTATTCAGGCGTCAACTTGTACTGCTCAAGGGCAATGTTGTAGATCTTTTTTGCTTCACCTGCCATCGTCTCATATCGCTGCCGCTCTGTGTCATTCAAGGATTTCCATCGTTCACCGGTAGCTTTGGCCAATTGAGCAAATGTCAAGTTCTGCTCCTTGAGTTTGGATCGTACATCATTGGCAAACATGACATATGCAGAGGGTGGCTTTACAGGTGCATTGCGGTCTGGCTTTGGATGTCGTCGATATCGTCGTTTGGGTGGTGGTGGCAAAGATGAGCTTGCCGTATCATCAATGGATGAATCGCTACCCTTGTTTTGGCGACTAGAGGACGACGACGATAATGTTGCTCCAAAAGCTGAAGACGTATTACTGCTTTGTGCTACTTGGCCAGCGCCCTTTTTGGAAGAACGTAAACCTCCACTACTAACAGTGGTATTGGAACTTGGTGCCAAGCTGTCACTGCCACTTGAGTCACTAGGATTGTTCATGGTTGATGTTGCTGTGCTGCTATTGGCCATGGCTGGTGGAGTTGGTGATGCTGCTGTTATAGGAAACCAGCAGTGAGATGTCGTGTCTACAGATTTGATGCGTTTATGTGTGTGCATGAATTTACCCATGGATGAAATAGGCGACTGGGCAGCACTAATAGATCCCGTGGTGCGGATCCATAATGGTTGGTTCCGTGGTATACCTTTGGCTGTGGCAATTTCTCTTTGCAACAACTATACATGATGCATGAACTAGGTAAGTAAAATGTTGAATGAAAACATCATTGTAAATTACCCTACGATGGCCACGCTTCACTTTTAAGGCAACCAGGTCGTCCTCGCTGATTTCACAAAGCTACATGTATAAGTCGTTTTGTTCTCTTTAGCACTCGTGCTTGATAAAGTTGATGTAAATCTTGGAGATGAAAGGAAAACGCACCGACTTGAGACAATCAAATCCTTCTGCAATAAAGATTTCCAAGTACTGAAGTAGTTTACAACGCTCGAGAACTTGTTTGACTTCACGGTGACCAGCGTCGCGTTCGTTAAAGCTGGTCATAGGCACGCGGTGCATAAATAAAGTGTCGTTGAAAGGATCGATTCGGGATAGGATTGATCGCTTAACAAGCAAGAAAACGTCGAGATGGCAATAGTGGTAACGAGTGAAATGAAGGACTTAAGAATTCTATATCGGCAATCTTGGTATCTTAAATCGTTCTTTTTCTGGAGGCGTATATCGTGTCGATGGCTGTAAGATGATGAAAGGAAAAAGATAGAATATGAAAAAAGAGAAAGAAATGTTAAGGAAAGGATCCCTCCAATTTAAGGTTTTCGGATACTGAGTGTGTGTTTGGCATATATCCACGCGTGCTCGCACGCACATTGTGTGTGTTATAGTCTAGATAATAAGACACAGTCCTCCCCCAAACGACGTCATTACATGTCCCATATCAGGGACTATGCGGCACGCCATAGAAAGCTATGGGAGTGAAGATCGGGCAATACAAGTATGGATTCCGATCGATCTTGACGAGTCTGGAAACTTCTGCTCGCTTCGATATTCTCAGTTACCCAACGTATCCGGTTGTTGTATAATAGAATAATAATAGCAAATACAAGTTTTATCGATTCCCCATCTCCCATCTCCTAAAAGGGAAACGATAAGGGTAAAGAAAAGTAAGGCAAGTGGTGAGAGACAACCTAACGCACCCCCAAACCACTTGAGCGATCACAATGAAAGGGGTCTAGCGTAGTTTTATATGATATCGAATGAAGGCTTTCCTTCGATACCCTCTTTTTCGATGCTTGTTGCACGAACCCTGTCAATGGTAAGGCGCGCTGCGGTGGGTGAGGCACTAAACCATACCTGTTATGTTTTTTGGGGGGAGGGATGACTATGCAATCATACACAAAATGAGGAGACAATCAAGGAACGGGGGAAAACCTGACATGTTTTCATACCAAAATTGAAGGCTATATAGTAATGTAGCTTGCAGCATCATAAGAAACGTTTTCAGCTACATGGCTTATATAGTATAGTGGATAGCATATATATGCATCCCAACTACGTACGTTTAGATGATGCCTTTCCGCACTAAATATAAGCTCATGTTGCCAATTGTAGATCGTCATATGCTATACCTAATTTAACCCCCCAGAGCCAGATGCCGACTTGGAGGCGTATACATAACCTTATTTTATGACGATTTTGTGTACCAGGCGATTGTCGGTAGAGCTTATTATGTGCTTCCCGAATGTCGGCTGTCAGTGACACTAGCGATGTATGTAAGTATGCATGCATAAGCGATTGACTTTTGTGTGGAATAAAAGAAAATGACAGCGAGAAGAATGCCATAATAAATATTAGCAATCTTGTGCTTTATAGCGAGGGGCTTGCATTTGTTTGTCATACTACTAGTGTGTGTGTGTGTGTGTGCACATGCGCACACATAACATGATGTCATTTTTTAATACAGTGCGTGCCAAGAAGGTGAGCGTGGGATGCTTGTATAGTCTAGTTAACCTGCCGGTGGATGTGCCTTCGCTTCTTTTTCTTCATCTTTCCATTTCTTTCCATGGGCGTTCACTGCATGTCGGGTATTTTGGCCGTGTTACTTATAGAGCAGTGCTTCATTGATTGCATGCAAGTACTACTCCCCCATTAACTTGGGTGTGTGCGTGTGTGTGTGTGTAGCATTACCGATGCATAGCACACACTACCCCGATTGCATCACGTCAAAATGATCGACAAAGCAAACCCATTCCATTGCTGTGGCTCATTTCCCGACCCCGTTACCATGATTGCTAGGTTACTATTCTTCTTTGACAATCCATGCCGTGTTACACATGTTTGTTGATTGACTACCCATCTACTTCTAATACATTGTGTTTTATTATGATGTACTGCTAATATGGATATTTATGGCTGGTGGGAGAAAAGGGGGAGCGGTGGTGTACAAATGGGTTCTCTTTACAGCTTTGGTTTCAACGCGTTTGGTCAAGTCGATCCTGACAGCAACCAGAAAAAAGCAACCCACCATGACGTGTCCAATGTACTCTTCACAACCTGGGAATCCACCGTCATTTCAACTGGTACATGTGCTATCTGATCCATAGCTGCCCATTGCTTACCGTTTTAAAAAAGGCACAGGCGAATTGCAGTGGTGGGGTTATCAACCGATGCAAGACAATGGATCGTCCTTGAAGGCTTTGACTGATTGGGGAGATCGCTGCATAAGACGCATGTTCGGTGACCTTAACTTGTGTCTCGGTGCTATTGATGACCACGGCAACGTTTGGTATCGCGTATTGGGGTCGACAACGAATCCTATCCAGCTATTGGCGTCCGAAGCACAGGATGCAGTCTATTGCTCTGCACTTGAAGCCATCTATATTCTTACAGGTAGCTTTCATGCAATTCCTACCTTAATGTTATTCTAATCTATGATCTGTTTGGAAAAGTGGATGGTAAAGTGGATCACTACAAGATGCAAAAAGAAGATGATAAGGTGGCATTCAAGCTGGTGGCTCGATTGACTACACTTCCACGTGTGTATTCCCTTGCAGCCTCTGCAACGCATGTTTTGTTTTATACAGCTGGCATGGATCCAATCTATTCGCTTGGCAGCAATCGATTTTCACAACTTGGATTTGATACATCGACAATACAAGCCTTAGCTACACCAACACCCATCGACTATTTTAGTGGACTTGGGATGATGGATCCTAATCATCAAGGAATGGTGGCCTGTGGTTTATTTCATTCGGCTGTTGTATTGGGTGGCGAGCTATATACCTTTGGATGGAACAAGGATGGTCGACTTGGTTGGGGTGACAACGACGACGATGACAACGATGTTATATCACCAGCCGTGTTTCTTGATCCAAAAGGAGATCCTATACAAGAGGACATCAGTATTGTGCGAGTCGCATGCGGAGCAGCGCATACTTTAGCTATGGATGGTTTAGTATCATATGCAAGGGAGGATTAGGGGGGTGGTTAGAATACAATTGCTGATAATGCTTCTTTTATTTTAGATCATGGAAGGGTATGGAGTTGTGGCAGTAGTAAGTTTTCTTTATTATGATTTGTTTTCCTGTTATGCTAACATGAACAATGGATCTATTCCTAGATAAGTATGGTCAATTGGGAAGGAAAACATCGTGGCAATGTCAGGAGATCGGCAAGGAAGACAACAATGATGATCATGACACGACATTTCGGCAAGTCACCATTCTTCCACCCGAATCATATGCCAAGAATTGCTTTACAGGGCGATGGTCGTCATTTATTCTGATGTAAACTAGCTGGTAACATATATAGAAGAGAGGCAAATAATGTACAAGTGAAAAAGGGGGAATGGATCTATGAATACAATCATCTTTTATTATTATCATCATCATCTTTTCCTGTGACCATCTCGAGGTACGCCATGAGTCGTTTGTGGTTGGGATGCTCTTGCGTGTTATCATTTTCTTTTACTGGTTGCGAGTTGTTGCTGCTGCTGCTGCTCCACATGTGCTCGGCTTTCATGCGATCTGCACCCATATGGCCCTCATCATCCATGCTAGATTCACCCAAGATTTCAGATATGAACGCACTTGTTGCACCTGGTTTGTATGGACTGACAATGACATGGGGTCGTCCCTGTGTATCAATGGATGCTTCCTCAACATAAAAATCACGCTCTCGTCGATCACCATGGTATCGCATGCTGGTAACATTGCGCTTTACGCATAAGGCCACGACACCTGCAACACCCACTGCATATCCATCACGATCGTTATTGAGGAATCGACCTTTGACAGGATAATTCATCTCCACTTCATGTTCGCTGTACGTGGGTCCCACCACTCCTTGTTGGTTGTTGTCGCTAAATGATGCTCCCAAATACTCATAAACTTGTTCAGGCTTAAGCTGTTGATTGTCGATCATCTTTTTAAATTCGGGTGCACGCTTGGCTGCTGCCTTGACAAATCGCTTAAACTCGGCGGGTGTCATTTGAGTGATATTGTGTTCAACGTGTTCAGGACGAGGCATAGGCTTCTTCGAGTTGGGGAAGTTTTCTTTCCAACGACGTACAAACATGACTTGACTGGTTCCTGATCGCCACGGTGTCTGATGCTCGGCTGTATCAAGGTCGGAAATGGTGACAAACGGTGTACGAATGACGCTGGGTAGATTGCGCTTCAAGCCCCAGTTGCCCTTTTGCCGATTATGCTGTGATACTCGATACACCTGATTCAGCTTTCGATCGTATGATGCCAAACGTGAATTGCGTAACAAGCTAGCAAAGGTCTTGTCCATGCTGTGCCAAATGTCAACTGAAGAAAGAAACAAGTTGTATAGCTTCGTGACTCGTCGCCATTTCATATCCTTGTCAAATGTATGCCCGCCCACTTATGCAGCAAATAAAATTCATGCCAACAACAATGACACTGTTCTTTGTTATGTACACACTTGCTTTTTCACGTTTATTTCATATACAATTTGATCTCTTTAAGAACCATGGCGAGTCTCAAAGTAGTTGGTGGCAGCCACAATGGCCATCTTGGTAAGGATACGCTTCTTGGCGCTAGACTTGCCTTCCTCATCATCGGCATCTTCACCTCGCGAAGCAAGCAATTTAACAAGCTAGAAAGGTTCATTGTTAGTTACATTGATTCAAAGTTTTGGCCAATAAAGGTTATCTTAACTTACCTCAGAAGCAGCAAAGCTGGCAATCAACTCCTTGGACATCTTGTGATCGGTGTCCTTACCTTCTTCTTCTTGCTTCTTTTCCCACATACGCACAGCCTGGAAGGCAACAGCTCCAGCAATCAATTCATAGCTACAAAGGCATTATCATTAGCAAAGTGTATCATGAGCATAGCTCCTTCTATTTACCTGAGAGTAGATTTCTTCTTCTTTTCTTCATCTTCGTACACCTTCTTGTGGGCTTCTGTAAGATGTTCCTCGTTCAGCATCTCTCGCTTGTTGTGGCTCCATCCAGTCCAATTTCCAAACCAAGCACGGAAACGAGCACGCTTGCTGTCATCTTCATCTTCATCATCAGAGTCGACTTCACGTGGAGGATCGCTCAACTCCAATTCCCATAATTGGTTCTTGGTAGGTCCAGGTTTGCCTTCTGCAGGTACAAGAAGCTTACGCTTATACATCATGAGACGAGCATCCACATTTGGATTCTCATGTCGGATATCAATCACTGTCTCAGGGTTGGCAAGTGAGTAGATGAAACCCGTGTCCCTTTCATAACCAAACCGCTGGTCGCTTGCCTATACAATGACCAATCTCAGAATGCAAAATCAACCACCAATTGAAATAAAAACAACACTTACCACATCTTCCTCTTTCATTGTATCGAGATAAAGACGCTTTTCACCAGTGAAGATGGCTAATTATAGAAAGGTGTGTTGTTTAGTATACATGCAATTATACGTTGCAAACAACAAAGGGTACCATACCAATAAAACTTTGAGCTGTGTTGATATCAAGGACGAGACCCGTAGCCTTGTTGGTAAGAAAACCTTCGGGAGGGTGACCATGAATTGAGCAGCTGATTCATTATGACATGCAATGTAATAAACGTATACGCTACCTCTTTGATGGATCCATAGTTGGCTATCACGTTCGGGGGACTCGGGCTTCTTTTCAGCCATGACAATCTTGGTGCCGGGCTATTAGTTGAAGAATTATAGTAGTGTGAGATGTCGGAAAAACTTTGACGATTCGTTTAACTACAAGATAGCAACCATTATGTACTTACAGCAGCTGTTTCAACATCACCACGGATATCCATAACCAAGCCATGCATCTTGGAGATAATGTAAAAGTAGCCGATAGGGAAATCGCTTTGAGTGACCGTCATGATGAACCCAAAAGAGAGAGAGAGAAAGAACAATTGGTGGAACGTCGACAAATTCAATCCACCAACCATGCTTTTATAGTCTCCTTTTCGCTTCCATCTCCTCTTGCCCTATAGCGGCTGCGGTTTATCGCGATGAGTGTGTGTGTGTGTGTTACTCTGACAAAGACCTGAGTTGTAATAAGAGTGCTCTTTTGCACCACCATCCTTGCGTCTCCCTTTTGATGTCGTCGGATGTACAACGTCCGACATCTTCCCTTGCATATCCGTACCATTTTAGTTTGCTCCTTTTCCATTCCTACATTTCGAGGCATATGACAATCCGTAGCATGGTGAAGCATAATCATAATATGGGGAGCGTTGTTTCGAATCCTTAAAAGAATAGGCTGTTACTTCCTTTTTTTCTTGGCTATCCGCCTATCGGGTCATTTTTTCCTTTTACTTGTCATGGCCCGGGTGCAGCAATGTGGTTGAAATGTAAGGGTTATCCTTGTGTGTCTATAAAAGCTGAGCCTTCTAACCGCTAAATCGGATGAGCCCTTCTCTTGTATCACACACAAGCTCACGTTGTCTTCGTTGCACCATTGTACGTTGTCTAAAAGGAAGCAAAAGAAACGTAGCACGGGCTTCCCTTCCGCTGTGTTCCGCTGTCATGCATGACGCTTGTTGATTTGGCGTTGCTGATGCTGAGTTGAATGTTTACCTTCTTTTCCTGCATAACCAACATTCATTGTCATGTCCCACACCCACTCTGCAACATGTATTATTAGCAATGGCTATATCATTAGCACCTGTGCATGCGGTCGCTTCGTCTCTTGTTGAAAATTTTTGCAGCAATTGAGATGAATGAGTCACTGTGCCTGAACAAGGTGGCGATGTGTCATGTGTGATTCCATTATTATGCGTGACCAAATGTCAAATTGAATGTTATCATTTGACACTTCAGGTATGCTGTAACCAATGAAAATTGATCCAGCCACATCTTAACAGCTCTCATGCTGCTTTAGTCTTATGACAAATTTAGCACTTAGGGATACAATAGTTCTATTCTCGCCTATTCTCTACGTAATAAGATGAATGTTTATAGGTTGCAATCAACACGTGTAACCATTGTATCGATGTAGCATGTTGCCGTGACATCTATTGAAGTATACCTCTTGGAGAGCCTAAACACAAGAGGAACCGCTAGTCAAAAACATCAGTGTTCTCCCCCACATTACACCCTATCATTCGTCATTTTCACCCAAACCAATGCATGTGAACGATTCTCCTGCTCAACCCATCATCGCCATCCTTCAACTTGCTTGATCCGAGAGGATTTGGTTGAGTTACGCTCGAACACAAAACAACATCCAATTTCACAAAAATCATTTTGCAAAGTTATTTGTAAACTGCAGCTAGCAGCCATTCCTCCCTTTCGTCTTTATTTTCCAATCCGATGCATATGAACGATTGTCCTGCTCCAGCCCATCATCTCCATCCTTCAGCTTCCTTGATTCGAGCTAACCTGGTAGTAAGGTAATAGCTGTTGTTGGATCATCATCACCATGTAAAGTGTAAAATGGCACACACCCTTTTGCTATACGTGAGGATCATCATTTCTTTTATTTACGTGTACCTATTGTCTATCGTGAGGGTGATGATGACGATGGGTGCGTGGTGTGTGTGGGGTCATTGAGTGGCCTCAGTGTAATAGCAGTAGGGGGATTTAAACTTGGGGGACAGCAGCTCCACGACTTGAGACAACGCTTCTCTTCTTTTTCTCCCTCCTTTGTTTTTATCCAATGCACGACATTGCAATCAAGGTAATGTATTATAAGAGAGTGCTCTTGTTGACTGTGAGGTAATAATGTAGTTCTGAACTTGCATTATCAGGGAGTGAATGTGTCCAAATGCTGAGGAATGGAGCGTGGTGGGTGGTTGGTTGTTGCCATGGCGATATCGTTGCTTCCTCTTATTCGTTGCTATTCCCGCTCTACGCTTGGTGTCAACAGGTACATTCAAGTCCAATGTTGCAGCCGAAGTGGTTCCACTGACGTATTAGCTTGTATAGAGGGCAAGTTTGGTCTTAATACGTTGGCTGGTTTGGCGTTTTGTTTCGGCTCAACAACACTACACCATGGTTTTGGGTTTCCAGTAACCACCAACAAAGGGTTTTTTGTGTAATATGGAAAAGGCAAGTACAATGAAACAAACAATGAAAAGGGGCGTTTTATTGTGCGTGTGTGCTAATAATGAATTGAATAGCTTTGTTTGGTCAGGCAATGCAAATTGGGGCATCATCATTTCTTTGGGTTCAAGTCCTAGCCTGTATCAAATGGCCGCTGCGTCGCTCTGCACTAGGCAAGTGTGCTGGAAAAGCTTCTTGGAACGCGTGGGCTCTATAGGCCTGCGTTGAGTTGAGGGGTCGATGACGATGGGTTTTTGGAAGCGCATGGTCACCGCGTTGAGGTAAAAGGAGGTTTACAGCAGCTTGTGAATGTGTTGACATCCGTGCGAACCAACACGCTCTTCTCGTGATAGGCTCGTTCTTTCCCTTGAGGATTTCTTTTCATGAGGTGGGAAATGATTGGAAGGATTGGATTGGGGTTCATTCTTTCTTTGGAGAGGATGAATGAGGACAACTATGAGCCTGGCCTTGCGTGATTCGTGCAGTGCTTTCTCAAGAACAAGGGATCGCCCGACGTTGCTCGTATGGTGGTGATTTGGTTTGTGAATTCCTTCTGATTTGCTTTCTTCCTTAGAGAGGATCGCCTAACGGTATACCAAATCGTCATCATTCCAGTACCAGATGGTCTAACTTGCCTGCTTTCTTATTTGTAGAGACGACGATTACGATGATTACCACATTCACAACAATGACGATTACGATGATCACCCCATCTACAACAATGACAGTGATGACGACAACGAGATTCAAAAGGAAGCCTGCAAGATCCCATTCTTTTCAACTTGTGTGTTTTTGGATATTGGTGTGACGGATGAGGTTGACGACTGGTGACGAGTACTCGTACGAATGATGACGGAGGACGACTACGACGATGGTGATGGCAATGTACAGTAGCAAGGTAGCTAGATGAAATAAAGCATTGTTTATTTATTACTCGCTTGTTGGATTTGACTAGCTTGTGGATTACATACTATTGCTTTGAAGATGGAATAATAAAGGTGGTCCGGTTAAGAAGTACATGGCTTTTGGGATACAATAAGGAGGAGTGGGAAATGGGATGAGCTTGAGAAGAGAAAAAGTGAAGAGATCCCTCCATTGAGTTTCAGGATGAGTGACCCATTCAATATGTATATGTATCTTTTTACATATACAAATTGGTTTATGCAGCTCGACTTTCTTCTACATGCAAATGTGATACATACCTTGACACACCTTCATTGTTGGATGCTGTTTACTTACGTACCTTCACAAAAGGCAATCATCATCATCATCATCATCATCATCATCCATTTGTGTAGCAACCTGTCAAGGACGTGTCTGTGTAACCACCACGTGCCGTTTCACCCAGCTCTTCATCTTTCAGTTAATGCAGCCGACACCACCCACTAGGAAAAAAGCAACTCCATCACGCTTACAGCATAGGTAAAACATAAACGTGCCTGTATCTCCAAACTTTACAATGAAACGTGGGGTCTTTGATATGTTAGTGATGCTCATGAATGCGTAACAAATATATAAATGATAAGGTGGCAAATTAGCTTCCATGGAAACCCATGTACTGACAAGGATGGCCACGCGAAGGCTTTGCCGTCACCCTCTCCCCTACGGTGCACTAAGCCGGATAACGGGGGCTGCCATTGTAAACAACAGCATCTTCTATAGGTGCTGCTCGAGCCAACATGTTCGGTCTGATAAAAGGATAGCATCCCACGCCCACAGAGGCCGACCCATAAGAGCAAAAAGCAATACATGATCCCATATCTACCACAAGGACACTGATGAACAGTCTAACGGCTAAGGCTGCAATCCTCAAATGCAATTGATAGGGCCATGATAGGGCTGACCACACTGTCACATGTAAATCATAGCTGCCAACGATGCGTTACTCAGGAAACAAGGCACCATCCCGTTCTACCCATAGCAAATAAACATCCGCCATATCAGTAGTTGCTGTC